GATTGTTGTACCGCGCATTGGTAAATCCTACTTGGAATATGCGTCATCCGTTTGGTCACTGCATCGAAATGTGTATATTATAACTGTAGAAAGAGTTCAACATAAGTTTCTGAGCGTAACGACTCGCAGAGTAGGTCAGCCTATGTCCATCCTTGACCATAATTATGAACCATTACTGAAATCGCTTAATTCAGCGTCGTTGCGAGATCGTAGAATTGTGGCAGGTCTCGCATTTTCATTGAAAATCATTAATGAATACGTTACGTATCCTCTCTTATTAGATACAAATCATTTTCATGTTCCACCGAGACCGACTAGGACTACATGCCTGACCTTTTTACGCGGCACTTTTTTATACGATTTTTTTAAAACGATTTATTCAAAATTACACGATTAATACAACCGTTAGACTAGGGGATAATCGCCACTTTCAAGACATATTATATTGAACAAACAATTCAACATATCTTCGATAAATTAGATAAGGATAAAATGTTATCGTTCCAGATATTTAGAAACAATTTTCTATAATGGTTCGTGTGAAGTGTATTGAATTGACAAGCTGGCTGAACTGTATAAAAAATAATAATGTTGTACCAACATGTAACATCGAATATTATTTGTTTAACACATGCAGTTGACGAAGAAGGATTTATCGATATTGAAGAAATGATGAGTGATGATCTGCCTGACGAGGAAGAGTCGATTGAAGCGGCCTTAAATGATTCTGATCAAAACAGCGATGATAATGGTGAAAATTGTCCTCTGCGAATTCATTGAAAAGGATCCGGCTGTTGAAAGAGCTACGAACATCCGAATAAACTTCAATGCTTGTATAGCTGGTTATAAGGGATTGTTAAAAACAATATCTATTCTACAATTGTGAAAAATTTCATCAAAATTAATAAAAATGAAAAAAAGAAAGGGTATTCTACGAGTACATTGTCTGTTGGGTTAACGAATGTTTTCTTCATTTTTCAGCTTCTTTTGCACGGTTTCTGGCAGCAGCGTAAACGTGCCGTTACATCTGGCGAAGCATCGTGAACCCGATAATCGGTTTCCTCCTCCGGTAGAAGAGCCTGCAGGATCCAGACGCAAATAAACGCGCGCTGCGCGGAGCCGCGAGTTGTTTTGGATTCGTAGAAACCGTCCGCGCGGGCTCGTGCAGGCCTTCGAAACGATCGACACACTTCCTGCGGATGTTTCCTTTCGACCCGTCTCGCTGAACGATCGATTCGAGAGGTTCAGGGACCCGCTCGCGAGATATTTGTAATGTATGTACGTACGCCGTATCGAGTAGGAGCGCGTTGCGGCTGGTCAGTGTTGGTACGGCGCAGCACGCTCGCTCTTTAAACGAAAAACTTTTCCGCCTGATAAAGTCGAATTGTGCTTTCAACGCGACACGTCTCGTGACGATTCGTCAACGCGCGTCGACCGAACGATCTCCGCTATCTTTCAAGATTATATCGTGCAACGTTCACGCGTAACGAAATATATTTTTCTTTTTGTTATTTCAGAATGGGAATTATGCGACGATGCTTATCGCGAAACGTGACAGCAGGCATGCAGGCTTCATTTCGATGATCGAGGGTACGGACAAAAATACTATTTTACGATTCGCGAATTATGCACGTTGCGTACCTGTTTCGCGTAATAATAATAACCGATAGAACGTTCTTTTTTGTGTATATGTTTAACGTCGTATCGACTGCATCAAAATGATTATTAGCGACGATGATTTAGCATTTAAAGCAAAGAGGTCTTCTATTCGTTGTGTATTTATCGATAGCAGTGTTTTCGAAAAATGTAATTGGAGCTTCCAGAGTAGTTGTTTCAATATGCAAAGCTCAACTTCGTCTCATACATAGTGTTTCTTCTCAGAAGACACCTTGTTTTTTCATTTAACATCGAAAAGTATGATTCATGATTCTCCTGAAGATGCTAAAAAATTGTCAAAATAACATTCCTTTATATTAAACCGAAGACTTCCATGATCGTATTTTATTTTATATCAGATCGACGAACGCTCGTTGCTGACCTTATCCGTGGTATACACCGATATAAGCCGGACACGTGTGAATGATATGAAGTATTTCCTGTAGAACGTTAAACACATAAAATGAAATTAAATGCTAAGCTCGCAAAAACACGGCTTATAATCACAACTGACTAAATACTAAGCATTATTATCATTTATCTTGATTTATGTGTCGAGGTAGTATCATGTTAAAGACACTTGACTTGTCATTGATCATGCGAGTGTTAAGTTATTTGCCATTTCGTACGCTACAGATAATAGAAATAAAAACGGTGACTACAAATCCAAATATTTGCACTTTGTCTTAGTAATTGTATTATTTCAATATGTTGATTTCCTCCACTTTAGCAAGCAAATAATTCTCCATTTTAAAGACGAATTTGTAGCCTCGCATGCATCATTTTTGTAAATTCTGTATATCATATGATATTGAATATACGGTAAAAAAATATACATTTTAGATCAAACGAACAAGTTTATGATACAAGAAAGTTTCTAAAGGAGAGGGTTGGAGGGTTGCGCTTCCGTTACAGAGAGTACCTGCTAATAACCTTTCTATGATTTTCAGTTCCGGACAACACGAGGATGCAAGGAGTAAAAGGAAAGCGCAGTGAATTACAGCAGGAACGAAGCGTTCGTTTGTCGATTGGGTCTCGTGCACACGAAGTCGTGAGAAAAGTGCAACGTGCACCCGGTTCCGCGATGCATACTATGGAATCATGATTGAGTAACGCGCGGTTGTGACTTCCGACTGCATCACGAAATACGTAATGCCAGTCCCATTAAGTATGCACACCTGTTAAGGTCATCAACAGGTATAACTTACGTCATCTTAGCGTACACATTACCACTGGTGTGACTGCCATAATGATATACCGTGTGCACCTTTCGATCGGCGACACAGCTTTCCTTCGTTACGCGTATACTTTTTCATTAACGAACGATCGATAATCGCTTTAATGAAATTCGTTTGGCGGCGTGCTCGGAATGAATACGGTTTATTTCCATTGTCCTGTACACGCGCATATACGAACGATACTATTTTAACTTGTCAACCGAGGGAGGCGAATTTAATTGTTCTTTGCAAATACTATGTAACAATGGACATAAATCATTGTTACATAGTCCGAGTCGACGATGCAAATACCATTTTTCATGTTTGCGCTAAATGTAATATACAGATTACATCTCTCATGATTTAACCCTTATGTCAATAACCGGATACTCGGGTAATAATTTTATTTTACACTATATCCGATTTATTCAGAGAGAATGTGTGAAATGGTATTTCGGTTATTGAACAATCACAAATATATTGGTCATTGACATAAGGATTAATGACGAGTATACTCCTTCGCGCGTTGCTGATTGTAATGCTAAAAAAAAAAGAAAGAATGTAAATGTAGCGAGCGAATGGGAATTGTTCCGTAAATCTCTGTACATACACGACCATTGATCGAATAGAACGTGTAATATCAAGGACGGTATATGTAGTACGCTCACCTTATCACGCTCGTCTCCCACGCAATCGAATCGAAATTCGTCTCGGCATACGAATGCCTGTGGCTCGTCGAAGGCCACCGACACCGGCAGCCCTTTTTGCCTCCGCCTCCGCCTCCGCCACCGCCCTCTCTGTCCTTCTCTACATCTACGGTTCTTCTTCCACCCAACCGACGGTTCTAGGGGTCGCGATGAAGTGGCCCTGCGCCGTCCGCGTGATCGAACGTGAAAATCTTCAACGACAGCAGCCCAAATGAATGGAATGCCAGCCCACGCCTGAGAGCCGCCTGATAGGCTGCTCGATCCGAGGTGAGGCTTCACGTACACTACGCAAGAGTTCAGGGACGTATCGTTTAATGGGCACCCGGGTAGAAAGAGATTCATTCACTCGCGCATTCTACACCTACAACCATCTACGTGCGAGCGTTCCGTGATGCGTATTTTTTTTCGAAAACGATTCGTTATTCATTTAAGAAAACATTGAATGTTTCTTGCGTGAATGAGAACTTTGTAGGGCACGAGGATGAAACGAGATTCAAATTCGAATAATCCACTAGCGAGAAGATTCTAAGTAAAAATAAATAGTTTTCTAAAAAAAAGTGCATGTGTTATAAATATTTGAATTTCATTTTATGAAGTAGTTAACGAATTACTTTCACGTTTGGTGGATTATTATTTATTTGTTAAAATAAATAGTATTAAAATTTATAAAATGTAATATGCAACGAGTTCGATCAAAATTTTCGACGAATTGCATTTAAGATTTATGTATGACAACGATCTAATGAATATGTAGATGCACTTCATTTGAATATTCAGCACTCTTTAAAATTCAAAATTCGTTTGAGCGCGTAAAAATCTGAATGTGAACTTTGTTCGAAACAGTTTCATTCATGTTTTCGAGTCGATGATCGCAACGATTATCGTTTCGGATTTAAAAAGTTCCCGAGTTTGTCTCTATCTGTTTCTTATACATACGTCGATGAATATAAAGGTCGGTCAAAGACACCGACGGATCGCATCGAAGATTATATAGTTTCATGGACTTCTGTAGGGGCGATATCGAGCGTCACGACGAGCCTGGAAGCAAAAGCACGTGCACACTCGTGTGCGTGCACGTCGATACGAAGTAGACTCTAGTAGACGGTGCTGTCTTTCTCGCGTGGATTGTAATAATATGCGCCCACGCACGCGTGAGACAGTGAGCGTGTAGTGTACGGGTCCCCCTCACGTCACCCCTGTACCCCGTTTCAACGAACGGCTCGGTCAGTACCGACCCCCGACTCAGTATCTACCCACGCCTTGTTAATGAAAACATCTTTTGTCAATGAACTGACGTCAGTCTGTTCGCGGATTGGTCGAACAGCCGGGACCACGTGATCCGCGGCGAATCAACGCCAAGATGAGGTTCCCCTACGCTCGAAGACTTGAGCGCCATTTGTCCATTCTGTACGGAAGAACGCTCGAGGTAAGGTGTGGCCTGCGGCAGGTTGGCTCGAGGAGCAAGGGAGAGTGAGTGAGGAAGAAAAAGATAGAAGGTGAGACACGAGAATCGTCGTTGGTAGTGTGCGAAGAAAGAGAAGGAACGACGAAAAAGGAGAAGAGGAGGAAAAAAAGAACAGGAAGTCGGTACGGCAACTGAGGGAAGACGCGTCGAGCGATGCTGGAGGGATTCGTGAGGTGAGGGCGACGGTCTGGTCTCAGACCGAGTACCTACCTTGTTCGCTTCGACCGATTCGGTTCGGTCCAGCGTGTACCGCGCAGCATCCTTTTCTCGAGAGGAGGGCAAGAAAGATCCGAGGATTCCGTTGAGCGCGTGGCAACACAGCAAATAATTCCGTGGAGAAAAAGTGTTTCGGAGTCACGTCTATCCGTCACCCGAAGATAATGCCACTATCCGCGACAGGTCGAGATGAAGTCGGTTCGCGCGAACCTCGAAACCCGTGGTTGAGATAAATTCAGAAAGTGACCAGCGTGGATCATGCATTTCCCCACCGAGCTGGAACAGTCCGCGGCTGTGGCGTTAATTGGGCCTGTCGTCTTTATTTACGAAAGGATCAATAATCGAGACGAGCTGGTGGCAGTGGAGAAGGAGAAGGAGGAGGAGGAGGAGGTGGTGGAGTAGAAACGGCGTTGAAGTGCTACAGGAAGTAATGGCAACACGTGAGAATAAAGCTCAGGAACGCGAACGTGCGTCCGGATGTCTCTGAGAAACACGTTCCATCATATAAGTCCAAGTGCCATTTCATTGTATTTGATAAATGTTAAGTACACGTATGCTTGTTTTGCACTATCCGCAGAAACAAATTAATAACAAGTTTACGTTCTGTGAAATATCATGCGTGTGTACTTAGATCATCTTGCGCCAATCTTTAGTAACATGTTATTCAAAAGTGCCATAGAAAGGAAGAGATTCTTCTAATGTCGTGAAGCGGAGGACATCTGCTTTGTAGAATACAATGGAAGGTAGAGAGGTCTTTGCGACAAAGGAATTGCTTCTGTGAAAAAAGAAGGGTGTGTTTTAAAAGAATTAAAGACCAAAGAAGCATCAGGAATTTGAATTAAAACTTGCAACATGCCTGGTGGAAATGCTATGGAGGATGATCTTGTGGGTCCTGAGTGGCTCTTGAGAGAACTTAGATCACACAACAGTCCCAGCAAGCTTCTTATCCTAGATTGTAGAGCACATTCTGATTTTTCTGAAACTCACATAAGAGGTTCGGTTCCTTTAGCTATACCTAGTATCATGCTAAGGAGGCTGGCAGCAGGTAAAGTTGATTTGTTATCAACTATAAGGTGCTCGGATCTAAGAAATAGAGTTGAAGTGTTTCTGTGTGGCGAAGAAAGCAGTAGAGGGACATTTGTGTTGATTGGTGACTCTACAGGCCCTGCAGGACATCAGGGTGAAACAATTCAAGTTTTAAGTCGAAGAATTAGAAACAGTGGAGGATGTGTAGCTATTTTAATTGGTAAGAAAAATAACATTCTGTTCTTTTAACAAAATAACAAAACTATATAGAAATATGTATTACAATTTTTTTTATTATATTTTAAACTGTTACTCTTGTAAATTACAAGCAACAAATTATTCATTGAAAGTAAGAAAATATCATTGATGCTTTAACAAAATAATGTTGCTAATTTGATGAAAACAATGTTGAAAGAGGTTGTAAGTGTGTAACAGTAAAATAATATTGTATATGCTGTAGTAGTAATCTAAAGACCTTCATATGTATCAATTGGACATTGGGAGTAGTTGTGAATGAAATATTGATTCTTGTAGAGGGTACTCCTATTCAACCAAATATTTAAATCTGTCCTATAGTTCTCCAAGTTATCTATGTCCATAGCTATGTGTATACATTAGATATTAATTTTAGTTTGACATATGTGTTTACTATTATCAAATAATATAAAAATATTGTGTTAGAGTGGTTAAAATAAATATGGCAGTAATTACTTTTACTGAGAATATTGTTATATACTCTTATTATTAATTGATTGTATAATACACTTGTACATATATAGATGTACTACTTCTTAACAGTTCTTAAAGTTTACAATGTTTATTCCTATCTATATATGTGTAATTACATTTGTATTTTTGTTTTTACAGGTGGTTTTGGAGCATTCAGAGATAGATATCCTGAATGGTGCGAAGGCAGTCAAGCTAGCGGCGAAGGACCTCCTGGTCAAGATGCTAATGAAGGTGAATTAATGGGTCTTAGATCCCTTCGAATATCTACTCCACCAACAAGGTCTTATTCAGATTCTGACAGTGATAGTACATGTGATTCTGTTGGTTAGTATGTTTGTATACATACTAGCAAAACATTATATTCATTGGGCATGTAGGAAAAAAATAATAAAATTATTTTGATATTTTGTAGGGCCTGAAGAAGATAAAGACTTTCCAGTTGAAATTTTGCCTCATTTGTATCTTGGAAATGCAGCCAATAGCGAGGATAGGGAAGCGTTAGCACGTCACAGGATACAATACATTCTCAATGTAACTCCAGATTTGCCAAATGTATTTGAAAACGCTGGTTCGATAAAATATATGCAAATACCCATAAGCGATCATTGGAGCCAGAACTTAGCTAGTTTCTTTCCACAAGCAATTCAATTCATTGGTAAGTGTAAATATTTTCTACAAAGTATACGATATTGTCTGATGTTTAATATAAATCTCTTGTTCTATAACTACGAAATTAAAGAAGATATGTCCAGTCTGGAAGAGATACACCTACAAATATAAACGGAATGTTAGGACGTGTGTAAATTTGAAAAACATTGTTCATTTCCTTTCAGAGGAAGCTCGAAGCTCGGACAAAGGAGTGCTGGTTCACTGTTTAGCTGGAGTATCGCGGTCCGTCACAATTACTGTAGCCTACCTTATGCACAAGTGTAGCCTCAGTTTAAATGACGCTTTTAATTTAGTACGTAGTCGAAAATCTAACGTTGCTCCAAATTTCCATTTTATGGAGCAATTACATAGTTTTGAAAAGGAACTGAGAGATCGGGGTGACAGAAACAGGGGGAATGATCAAAGATGTATTGGGGCATGTCGACCTGGAGGTCCTTGCAATTGTCCAGCACCTAGTTTTCTCAGCCCTATCGATTTAGGTCTCAGTCCAGATTCAGGTATAGAATTTGATAGATGGGCGGCGAGTACGCCGGCCGAATGAGACGGGTCAGGGGGGACCCAATATAAATTTTAGGTCCCTCCTAGTATGTCACATGTCATAGTAGAAAAGCCCTAATTGAAGGGTACGGGAAACGAAATTTTACATTTTGCTAGGGAAATGATGATCGAAATACGGTGTAAAAGTAGACGATCAGATATGTTTGTTGCGTACTAACTGACGAAGTTGTTAAACGGCTGAGCCTTTCCACTATTTTTCTATATAAATTCTTTCCTAAGGCTTTGCAGCCATGATCTATTACCACATAATAGAAATTGAACGATAACTAAGTAATGGACATTGTTTCTTAGAATATACTCCGAACGATTCGGATGTAAACAAATATTTAATTTTACGAGAAAAATAACAAATGTTCTTGTTATGATTCTAAATCCTTACATTTCTCGTATATTGTCAAATTATTATAAGGTATAAATCATATTGCAATCTAGGGGGGGGGAAAAAAATAGGTAGGACTGCGGAGGTTCTATGACTTTTTTTCTAAGTTGTCAGGGTAGCATTAAACATTGAAAGTATTTTATATTCGAAATCTGTACTTTCTTACTATATACTACAATTGTAATTGTATATTCTGAAATTATGCTTCCAATTTCGAAGTTCTTCGTGCAAATTATTATAGTGCCCGAGACACATTGAATTTGTTGTTTAATACTATGTTGTTCCCACATGTTTCTAGGATACAATTTTATACATACACTATATCTTGAATGACAAAATCTATATTTTTAATACTTATTCCCTGAACCCTTCAATTAATGAGGCTGTGTTTGTTTCATCTCAGACGATGCTTACTATGGAATGAAATATTCTCTAACAAATTAAGTCGTCAACCAGGCAATCACGAGTAGTTGAAGTAAAAATCACTGCTTAATACACTAAGTTTAAGTTATCGGAGGTACAAAAATTGAAAAATGTCTCGTACTCAGCAGTTAGATTTTAAATTATATACATATATATACATATACGAGCATATGTATATGTATGTATGTGTATATACGTACACGTATATGTAAAGTAATTTGAAACTCAAGCGTAATTTTTGACATAGTTTTTCAATACACAAAAGTGACTTATCTTGAGAAGCGTATTCTCGCTGCATTGTGACTTTCAAGATGCAAAGTTGGTATGCACGGTTTCTCGAGTGAATATCTCGGTTAAATAAATTTAAGGAGTACATCTTATGGATCAGTGCATTTCTATAGGGCATTCCGAATCTCTCCTACTTCCGAAAAAAAATCAGGGTCGTCGTAGACACATAGGAGTTCAGAAGCTTTACGTTTTGAATTAAGCTGGGTGAAAAGTATCTACAGTTACTTTTACCAAGAAGTCTAATAGTCATGAAATGGAAAGAGAAATGACTCGTATACATCAGAATTCTGCCAGTACAAGTAAAATTGGTCTTTGAAATTTTTTATAGAATTTTTTTATACGGCGGTCTTGATTCTGTGCGTCGATACAAGAATGCAACTAATTATACGCTGTACAGCAATTTGAACACTAAATTTTGAATTGTACGAATCAGCACTGTTTCTATTATCTTACAGATCTCAGATATATATTTAAAATTATTTTTGTAAAAAAGAAAAACGAATCGCATTCACATTCCCATAATGAGCCACAATGACCTGATATACTGTAAACTATCTTTCATGTACTATATGTATTGTTCATTGAGCATAATTGAGGTTAATATGAGTGTACACAGTGAATGTTATTTTCCATGTAATTAACTACAAAGTTGTGGTAATGAACTCTTGATTATTGCGGGAGTGAAATTGATATACAACTAAGGAAATATATATTTGACGTTAATGTAATAACAATATTCTACTATTACACTGTTGTCTGTTGTATGTTTATCGAGCGCGATACTCGAAAGATTTAATCAAATATTATGTATATTATATAAATTATTATTTTATATTCATCGTTGTACATATATTTTAATTAATTTTCATTAGAAATACAACTTATCTTACCTGAAACGAATATAAACAATTATTCTTTATAAAAAGGAGCACGTTCCGGCAAGTTTAGCATTGGTTTTTATATTAATGAAAATCATCTTGATTATGGCAAAATGTACTTTTATTAGCAATGAGTAATTATAATGTTTTAATCACCAAACTGCATAAAATATAAGAAACCTATTTAACGCAATGTTGATAAGTATATTCGTTAATTACAACATTAATTACTTGAGTCTTGTGTTCGCCGTTTCATTTTTATAAATTTTCTAGAATACCTTATAATATTTAAAAGATTAAACTAATAATTTGATTTGAACAATTTGCCAGCTTATTTGTAGTATTCGCTGGGACATTCGTTTCCGACATAGTTTTTAATACATTTAATGCAACTTCGGATTGTTTTACCGCTTTGATTAAGTCATTACGATCTTTTGAATCTGATGTTGTATATAAAAGTGTTCCTAGTCCCACAAGAGTTCTAAATACCGCTTCGGGCTCATTTAAATGAGGTAAAACGGAAAACATTGCATTCAAGCATTGTGCCCTACCAACTGCATCATTGTACTTATTTAAAGCCACGGTTAAATTCAATATATAAGTTGATATTGCGACCTGAAAAATGTGTACTGAATTAGTTTTATATTATACTTTATTCATGTATAGCTTACTCTTTTACATTATTTTTACCTGATTATTTTTACTTCCAAGGAATTCCAAATCTGATAAAAGTTTTAATATTTCGTCTTTACAATTAAAACCGAGCCTTTCTCCTTTTTCATGGCAAAACATGTTCGCTAATAAACGAAACGCGAGCATTTGATTAGAAGCAGATGCATCAGGTTTGATGTGTTTTTTTACAATTTGCAATAGATCATCCGTACATAGCGCATCATTGATTTCTTTATAAAGTACAGCGAGTCTTGTTATATCGAGCACGGGAAATAATATATCGTCCGGCCAATTTAAAAGTATCTTCAAAGTACTTAAAACATCAATTCCTAATTGTTCAGAAGTTTGTTCTTCCCCAAGGGTTATCAAGGTGTCTAATTTATCATCGGATACTTTTAAAGCTTCGCCTTGCTTGGAATTAAATTCACGTAATTTGTCTGTAAAAAGTATAATGAAACAGTTTCTAGTTCTATGTTAATACAGAAAGTTAATAGCATATTATAGAGTATAAGTACCTAATATAGCAGACAGATTGGCATGCTCTAATTTTAAGTATTTTGTATGAGGAATATAAGAAGAAGATACAGAAGAATCTGAAGAGTTAAGCACTACTGGTCTCACAGGCTCCTCCTGTTCAGTTGCATCTGTTGTCGTGCGCGGAATATATCTATTGCCTCCTGTGAAAGGATCAGCATACTGTGCACCGGCATTTACAACTGGTACAGATTGAGAATTTTTTATTATGAAATTTGCAACCTACAAACGAGAATCAATTATTAAAAAATTGTATTATCAATGGAATATAACAAATATCTTTCGAGTTATGTACCTGATCTAAAAATAATTGACTAAGATCATTGTCATGAAGAAATCTCTGTGCAACATGCCAAGGATCTTGGCCATCATTATATGGTAGTTTTAACGGAGGTACACCATCTTGTATATCAACCGAGAACACATAATCATATTCTATTCCATTATAAAGTCGTTTTCCAGACGTAACTGCACTACCGCCCGTTGCACCCATGACATCCCCAATTCTTATCCATCTTTGTTCATTTTGTGACCAGCTATATGCTCTTACTACATCTCCATCATTCACAACTTTTGTTTGTCCATCTCTTTGACCAGGCTCTTGCAATGCATTTCTGCTTGGTAAACTGTTCATACAAAAATTAAGACGCTAATATATTACTTTTATTTTACTTTTTCATCCAAAAGTTTTACTTACTCTTTAATTTTGATCCCACCTAATTCTTGTTGAGCATTTAACTTGGTATGCGCTACCTCCTGCTCAAATGCCTGTAATGTCTCTGCATCAGCATATCGATCCGAATCACATGTAAATATCCTAACAATACCATCAGAACTTCCAGCAACTATGTCACCATTAGGGAATAAATCGATACACCATATTGATTGAGTTGGCAATACAATAGTTTGACCTATTTCACTATTATGCCATACCCTGATAGTTCTATCTTCACCTGAAGTAAATACATTTGTACCACTTTCCTTAGCTAAAATACTATAAATATAATTTTCATGTCCACAATATGTTCCTAAACATGTTCCAAGGGTTGAGTTCCAATGGCGCACAGTGGCATCGTTGGAACATGTTAAAAATTCATTGTTATTTATTGTAGCGATATCACGAACACAATCGGTATGCCCGGTTAATTTATGTTGTAGAGAACCGTCGTTTGTCCAAATTATAACCAATTTATCTGCCGATCCGGTGACAATAGATCCGTTTAATAAATCTGCCACACACCATACAGCGGCTGTGTGACCTTCCAGATTCAGCTGTGGTTTACTTAAATTGTTAATATTCCATAGCTTAGCACTCAAGTCCCACGAACTTGAAAGAAATGTTCCTTCTTTTTTACCTGTTCTTAATTTGCATACTGTGTCTTGGTGAGCTTTTATTATGTTCATAGGTTCTGTTTGATCTGGTACATAAATGCATATGGTTTTATCGTTGCTACCGGTTATAATGAAACCTGTAGGATGTCTTTCTGATGGGTTTAGAACACATACAGAGCTAACAAAATTAGAGTGTCCCTTTAGCATTGCTGCTTGTTCATAGTCTCTACCATTTCTGTAAAATATTTAAATAATTTCTACTTTATAATATGTAGTATTACATAAAAACACACTGTATTTCGTTTAGAAAAAATGCAAAGCACAATCATTTATATTAGATTGATGCACATGATATGTTTTCCTTTATCATCAAACTAAAATTCATGTAATTTTTAAAGCTTCGTATATCTGATTTAAAGCTGTATTATTCCAGTTTAACGAGAACTAGAAGTTTCGAAGGTAAAAAATTCTTTGTATGCATCAACCATATATTAATAACAAACACATTAACAGGTTAAATACCCGGACGGTTTCCATACACGAGCTGTTTTGTCGCGGGAGGTTGATACAATAATTCCATCGGCGAATGTTGCCACGGCTCTCACATCAGACGTGTGTCCGAAAAGCGAGGTCCTCAATTTATAACACGGCTTAGCCATGATACGCTGATATCCTAACAAAGCACGCGAGAGGAACGTAACTTGTGCGAATCATGTACCGTGCAAATCTTTCCAACCGGAATACATAAACGCAGACAAATGCAATTGGTTTTGACATTTAAAACGCGTTCGAGCATGCGTGATGCTTTGTCGCTGTATTCGTACAACATGACGTGCGTTTTTCCCATCCACGTAAAATAAATTGCATCCGAGAAAGAAATTTTTTCCCAATGTCAACGACAATCATTTATACACTCTTTAAAATATCATAGATGCAATGTTACCATCGGGTTGTATATGAAAAAATGAGGAAGGAAAGTCTTCTTACATTTTCTCTAGATATAGCTTGTATAGTAAGTTTCATTCTCGCGGTTCGCCGGAGGACGTGTCACTTCCGATACAAGGTGGTTTCCGTTTGGTTACGTGTGTGTATGCGAAGCCGCTATACGGTGTGTGGTAGCCTATGCCAGCTACAATAGGCTCGTAGATCGAACCGGTCTGTCTCGTGGCAAGTGATTACTACGTATGGTGCACAATGAGATTTACAGATAAGTTCCTCTATTTATTCGCGATATTCGGTATCGCGAATGCTGCTGGACCTACGCTCGTTTTACTCGACAATTTAGCGATAAGAGAAACGCATTCCATATTTTTCAAAACGTTACAGGGTACGTAAACATTCGGCTATTTTCGGTTAAATGTCCATCAGTAATTGTTCATTGACAGCCGTTTTACATTTTCTTCCCTACAAATTATAGTAACACTATATTTATATAATTGTTCTTAAAAGATTACTACATGTACACTTTTAATGAACGTTTCAAAAAATTTCGTTGATAAGGTTAAGCTTTTAGATACTCTGGCCTTAGAATAATAATGACTGAAAGTATTGTAAGTTATTCTGGCAAAATAGAGTACAAAATCATTGATGCAATAATTTACCTTGAACTGTACTTGTCAAAGGGTTAAAGTGGTATAAAGAGTTTTAATATTTTGTTTTTGCTTTATTGCAGATAGCGGTTATACATTAACATTTAAATTAGCAGATGATGCTAATTTATCGCTCTCAAAGTACAGAGAGTATTTATACAAACATTTGATAATATTTGCTCCATCCGTGGAAGAATTTGGTGGAGCTTTAAGCGTAGAGGCCATAACTGATTTTATCGACGGCGGTGGTAATGTTTTGGTTGCTGGTTCTTCTCAGTCTGGACATGCATTGCATGAACTAGCATCCGAGTGTGGTTTTGAAATCGACGAAGAGGGTTCTGCAGTTATAGATCACTTAAACTATGATGTTACCGATAATGGATATCATACTAAAATAGTTGCGGATCCATCTAACTTAATAGATGCCCCTGTCATTGTTGGAAACAAAAATGTACAACCCTTACTTTATCAGGGAACTGGACTAATTGCAGATACAGACAATTCTTTAATTTTGCGTTTACTGACAGCATCTAGTTCAGCATATTCATACAATCCACAAAATCCTATAAAGGATTATCCTCATGCAGTTGGCAAGAACACATTATTAATTGCAGCTCTTCAAGCTAGGAACAATGCGAGAGTAGTGTTCTCTGGTTCACTATATTTCTTTAGCGATGAAGCTTTCAGTAGCCCCATTCAGAAAGTACAAGGTGAGAGTATCTCTTTAAATAGGAGAGAAAAATTATCTCCTTAATTTTGAAAATGGTTTAAGTTATTTGAGGTTCTGAAAATCATATTTCCATATCAAATTTTAACTAAGACTTAGACCACTTTCATAATCACTGGTACATATGTATTCCTTCCTTAATTGTAGTAATATTACAATATTTATATATTTAATAAATAACGTAGGTGGACAGAAACATGAGAAATCTGGAAATGGGATTGTAGCGACAGCGATCGCCCGATGGGTCTTCAAAGAAAATGGTGTAATACGTGTCTCTTCCGTTTATCATCACAAAGTCGGAGAATCCGAACCGCCTGCAGCTTATACGATAATGGACGATGTTGTCTATTCCATTGATGTTCAAAAATTGTCAGGCGATAAATGGGTACCGTACGAAACAAATGATTTGCAATTGGAATTCGTTCGAATCGATCCTTTCGTCCGTATGACGATGAAACCAGTAGGGAACGGTCGATACGAAGCAAGATTCAAAATCCCTGATGTCTATGGGGTTTATCAATTTAAAGTGGATTACACTCGTATTGGTTTGACCCATTTGTATAGTACAACACAAGTGTCAGTCCGTCCTTTGCAACATACACAGTATGAACGTTTTATACCAAGTGCATTTCCTTATTACATAAGCGCATTTTCGATGATGGGTGGCGTATTTTTATTTTCGCTTGTGTTCCTGCATTATAAGGAGGACACAAAACCAAAGTCTGAATAAACTCTTTGTGGTTATAAAAACTTATAAATACTTTACAACCAATTACAACCAATTATATAAAATTCAGTATGTTATTTTCATAATGAACACATTGAGGAGAGGAAGAAAGTGCTTGATCAGACATTAACAAAGTGGTAGGCATTTAAAACATATAGGTGCGTGTGTGGTAAAACGTTTATATTTATTTAATGAAATGTTGGAAATTGAAGGGTACAACTTGTTTGAATGCAAAAAAGCGTAAGAATCGCACGAAGCCTATCTGCACATGAACTATCAAAATTTTTTTTCTGTGTAATGTTAGATACCTTTAAATAATGTTTTTATGGTTACTACAATAAATGGAGAAAAAATGTAAATAAATAACTTGTACTCTGTTTTCATAGCTAGTTATTCGGAATGACCCAATTTAATTTATTGAATGTTTTATCCGCTAATTGTTGCGTGGGACGTTTAAATAGAGTTTTCTCATTGGTCGGTAAAAGTACATCGCGAGTACACTTTATGCGAACGTGAATTTGCATATAAAAGACAGATAGAAATTGTTCTTATAATTGGAAAGGGAAATACAAATTTTTATTTTTTAGTTGTGCAATCCGCAACGTTTTTGCTGATGTCTCGTAATTTCAGACATTTTTAACGGGTGATTGCAGACGCATTACCTCGAGCGTCTAATAATAATACGTGAGACAACATATCTACATAGACTATTAATTGAAATCTTGTGCTATATAAATACTAAGAAAAACGAGTTTTTCCGTAAAAAGACCGTAAGATTCAAAGTCCCATTGACAATGTCGAACCAGTTCGTAACAGTTCAAATCGCCGGTGTTCGATCAATGAGTCGTTTGATATGACTTCCAGTGTTAACGAGGAATTTCATAGTTTTTCTTATAAATGCAGTAGTAGATCAACATAGAATATGTTACTTTTACTTAAGAATAATCGTACTTTGTCGTTGGTACGATCTACGAATGCTGTTAATTCGCGAATTCCGAAAGCGTGAATGAAACTCTGAAAACATAACCTAAACAGGTTATTTATGCCTACTACTTCTGCTTGTACATTCGTTTTTATATTTATTAAGAAACTTTCTACTTTTTCAAAATGTTGGAAGGACTCGTAGCCTGGGTGTTAAATAATTACCTTGGAAAGTATGTCGAAAATTTGAATACAGATCAATTAAGCATTGCTTTATTGTCAGGTAAGGTTATGTTACCGTTCAGAATCATACTTGTTTAACTTTAGAAATGAATTTGCACTAAATCACGCATTGACAATACATGTTCGTTGATAATAATATCATAGTTTTGTTTAAACATTTATAATTTGTCATATATTATATCGTAACTTGTGTAGTTCATTGGAATTCATTTCAAGGCTGATCTTTGTTAGATACGAATTGCTTATAATATTAAGTTTTTATTAGAACACTTAGAATTAATATTTATGTTTAAAATCTTATGTTCATTGTTAGGAAAAGTAGAATTAGAAAATCTACCATTAAAAAAGGAAGCATTACGTCATATTGGGTTACCCATAGAAATAAAAGCAGGTTTCATTGGTAAGGTCAGATTGGAAGTACCTGTTCGTCAAATAAGGACAGCATCTTGGGTTATAGTGATAGAACAACTTTATTTAGTGGCAGGACCAATAAGTTTGAGCGAGGTACATGCATTATAATACTTTTGTATTATTTGCGATTCTATATATTTATCATTAAGTATTAAATTTACAGTTTGATAGCGAAACAGAGGAACAGGCACTTCTACAGTATAAATTGAGCAGATTAGATTCTTTAGAGGCAAGATGGAGAGCAGACACAGAATGTGATCCTGGTTACTATGCTACCAGTTATAGTTCTTGGGTAAATTATGGTACATCCTTAGTAACAAATATCATTGAAAATTTACAACTGAATATCAAAGATGTCCATATAAGATACGAAGATGGTGTAACATTATCAGATGGTAAAAAAATAAGCTTATTTAATCGAATAAGAAATTATGTTGCTAATAATAAAGATGAAAAATGATTTTAATTGATAGGCAGTGGTATTGCACTTGGTATAACTATAGGAGCCATAACTGCTCAAAGTTGCGATGCCAGTTGGATACCAGGTTCCACTTCGTGGAATTTTACAGATGCTTCCTTTAAACTTATGGAACTTGATAGACTTTCTGTTTACTGGAATCATTTGAAACCGGATGAGTTTTTTGGTTCTCTCAATCTCGGTGATTTAGCTGTATATATTTATTTTTATATAAACTATCTTAGCAATATTTTAAAATGAATTCCTTGATAGTGCCTTGAGTTATACATTTTTTTTTGTTAGATTGCTATGAGCGAGCTAAAAAACATAATGAAAAATCACATTTTATCGCCCGTTAGCGCAAGAGCGCATGTTAAAAGAGACAGGTCCGAACGACCATTGAGATCTACAAATAAACCAAGAATTATTGTAGATCTTTTGTTGGATGATGTCCCACTATGTCTTACAGATGTGAGTTATTAAATTTATGTGTTTATATTAATGCAAAGTACTAGCAACTTTTTTGTTAGGTGCAATATGAACAAATAATCAAGTGTATAAAGAGCCTGAAAGATATAGATCGTCATAAGCAACAGAGACTTTGTCGTCCAACAGTTAGTGTGTCTGCAGCACCTAAGGAATGGTGGAAATATGCAGCACGTTGTCATATTGGTAGGGAGGCTTTCAAGCCCAAATTATGTTGGGAAGATATACTCAAAAGAGGCAAAGAAAATGTCTTGTATGTCGAAACTTACACTAAATTGTTAGGTACTTAATCGAAAATTATTACGCCTTTTTCCTTTGTGACTTCTTGCTATTAAGTAGTATTATTTTATAGGAACAACAACTGGTATTTTACCTCCAGACATTAAACAATTAAAGGACAAAATAGAACAGGAAAGAAGTTTTGATGTACTTAAGGACTTGAGGGAAATATCAATGCAAAAAGTTAGGCCACCAAAACCTGTTCAAAATTCAAATGTTAACATACCGCAACCACGTGGAATGCTCGAACAATGGTTTCCACAATGGTGGGGATGGTATTCCAAGGCACCAAACACAAATACTCAGGGTACATCTTCCACTTTTGACGGAGAACTTCTGGACGTTTTGGCAGATACTATAGACGATGATACGTTATTGCGTCGCGATACTGTATTCGGACAGTTTAATTTTACGTTATCGAAGGGTGCTGTTTCTCTTTGCACAACGAAAAGTGATAATGAATATGCGAAAACTGTAATTGAGCTACAATTTGAACGAGTAAATTTAATTTACGATTCAAGGCCCAGGTCTGGATCTCATAAATTTTTTATTAGTTTGGGAGCATTGTATTTGCATGACTATCTTACAGAAAATTCTACTTTTCCAATTTTGATACAACCTCAAGTAGTATCTTTTGCAACATCGCGGGCACGCAGCTCCACAGAAAAATTAATAAGTCAACTGCCGCAACATTTATTTGAGATGACTTATGAGAAACGACCGTTACACTTGAGCGCCGATCACTCCTTACATGTCAACTCCAGGTCGCTGGATATAGTGTATAATCCCACTGTAATATACTGGCTCATAGATTTTATGTGTAAGCCGCATAGGTCATCGTCCAATCAAAGACTCCAAGCAATGAAGCGTAGAACACGAAGGCAACTTATAAAAAATTGGGAACAGATTTTGGAAGGAGACTTCGTGTATCGTTCTTCTTGGGACTTGCAGTTCAATATATCAGCACCACAAATTTTATTGGTAGAAAATTTTACGGACTCCAATGCTGCAGTCGTGGTTGTTGATTTCGGCAAACTTCATTTATCGAATTATGTACAAAATAACGAAGTGATCATGAAGCCAGGTTCAGGGACAAATAGCGACGACGAAGACGAGAGATTTGAAACACCTTGCTCAACGCCACCCGGCAGCCAAGAAAATGGTTCTGTTCAAGATTTTCAGACTATATCTGAAACCGCGTTACACCAAAAATTGTATGATCATTACACCATCGATTTGGTCGATTTACAGATTTTAGTAGGAAAAGTAAAAGATAATTGGAAACATGTACGAACCAGAGGGATGTCCAGTTTACATGTCTTGGAACGTTTTAACATATCATTACAAATTGAACGACGTGTTTTCTCCACGTCAGATCCAAACTTTCCATCCGTAACAGTGTCGGGAAATCTGCCAAGATTAGTGGTGCACGTTAACGAGCAAAAGGTAGAGGCAATTAGATTGATGTACACTCTACTTTCAAGTTTCTCCAAGTCTACCGGAATCCCACAAACGAATGTGGTCAATGTGGAACCTGAAAGCCCAAAGAAAGAAGAAAATGGAGACAAGTGTATAAGTCACGCTGTGATGGTCCAATTTATTATTGACCAAATGACCTTTGAGCTGCAATCCAGAGGCCGCAGTGTGGCAGAACTACAAGTATCTGGAGTCAGAGCTGCTTTCTGCAGAAGAACAGTAGACGTTAATGTTTCCTTGTCGGTGCACGGATTACTTCTAGTCGATGCTCTTCAAGAATTTGGTCCCGACTTTGAATTACTAGTAGCCAGTCACAAACATGTGGGGATGGACAGCATTTCTGGAAGTTTAAGAGACTCGGAACCGACGTCACCTGTTTCACCAGTGTCTCCTGGATCTCCAGATCCCACCCTACCAAGGAGGTTAACTTCTCCGGTTGCTCTGACCAATGCTTTATCCACTTTGGCAAGTAAAACAAAGAATCCTCAGTCCCCGAGGAATAATTCATTGATCGAATTGGACAAGATGGACTCGGAGGCCTTAATTGTCGTTGAGCTAACATTGGTGTACGACAGTTTGGAAAATTTGAGAGTTGCCAACATACAATTCAACAACTTGGATATTATCGCCAATCAAGAAACGATAGTAGAATTGATGGGCTTTTTTAGGAGGATATTTCCATCTCGAAAGATGAGGCCAAACATAGAAAGACAAGAATCGTTTTCGAATCAAACTGTGGAACCAAAAATCTCAAACAGGACAGAAATAACATTTGAATTCCATAGATTGAACGTTTTACTTCTGCGGGCAGTAATGCACGATAATCATTTGGTAGGGCAGAAAATCGCCACTGCTACAATGTGCGATGCTCGTATACAAGCGACTTTGGCGGTAAATACTTCAATCTCTGGATCACTCGGAGGTTTACAAGTGTTGGATCAAACATTGACTGGCAAAACGCATCAGCGGATTGTCAGTGTTGGGAGGGATCCTATCGCAGATCCACCTCAACAGTCACTGGAACACTTTACTGGTTTGACCGATCAGCCAGAGGCATTTCGATTCTCAGCGTATCGTTGTATCAAACCGTGTACACAGCAGCAGGATGGAATGGAGACCTTGATAGATTTAAACATACGTATAGGCAGTGTATGGTACACTCACGCTCCTCATCTGCTCTCTGAATTACGTTCGTGTGCTGATGAATTTAAACAGTATTTGAAAAACCTTGCTCGCCAGATCAGTGCAGCAGCCACGGATATGGCTATTGGTTTAGTTAATGCGGAAGATTGGTCAATACCACCGCGCAGACGTTTGCCAAGTCTGTCTGTAGATTTGGAGAATTCAGGGGCCTTATTTTTCAAACTAGACATACTTCTTGACAGCCCTGTATTGGTGATACCTCGATCATCCCATAGTCGTCAAGTTGTTGTTGCTCATCTCGGTACTATGTCTTTGCAACATGAGCCTCATCACGGATCTATGGCGAAGCACAAGTTGACTTTGGAAGTCAGAGACATGAATCTGTACTCTCTTGAAATATCTTCTAATCTTAGTCAGGGCCACATCAATTTACCTTTGAGAGCAGAAGAGATGTATTCTTGCAAAGAGTCTGGAAAACCAATCTTACATGATACCGTCTTAAAAATTGTAGTCGAGAAAGAAAACGCGTTAGCACAAAGTCCCAGCTATTTCCTTGATGATTTCTCGGGTAACCCGATCGTTCAAGTTCATGGAGTCGTGATGACGCCTCTGAAAGTATCTTTGTCTCGAGGACAGTATGAACAGTTGTTGGATACAGTGAATAGATTGTTCTCAATGCCAGTATCGGTCCCAGTTCAAAATTCACAGATAATGAACAAGGTACCAAACTACTCCGAGAAGCTCGACCTGCCTGTTAAGGTTCTATTCGAATTGCCCACTTTGAGCGTGGAATTAAAACAGGGCATCCTAGAGCAGCCATTGGTTGAACTGTCTATGAGAGATTTTATTGCAAAGTATGAGAAATTACAAAGAAACGAATCTACCATTCAGGTTGCTCTGCGTTCTCTACTTATGGAAGACTTGTTGTGCCCCATTGGTTCACGACACCGATGTATGATGCAGTCCTCAGCACCGATTCGTGCAAAGCTTCCTGCTGGTGTTTCCAAATCCTGTCCAGACTTTGCGTTTATACAACAGTTCAGAAGCGAGTTTGGACGGGGAAGTTTGCCCGACAGATTGGAGACTGACACACTGTACGGTACAATTCCTGCTCATTGGCGCAGGAAACCAGTGTCACTGGCGGGCACACCGAATACTCCACCCCCATCGCCTGGTGCATCTACGAACGAAGAAAATTTGGTACTAATGAGCATCACAATAACCGAACCAGATCCTGGTCAACAAACAAAGGATCAGTTTCATCAGAAAAGTGTAACCGTAGACTTCAATTGTTTGGATTTGGTGATAAGTGTAGAGTCTTGGATGGTGGTTTTCGATTTTTTTGGATTTGCAGGACCTTCGGGAACTAATGCTAAAGTTACCATGCATCAAACCTCTATTGATGTGGATCAGGTAGACAAGGCGGATAATCTGCCTTTGCGCTCAGAAACTGAAATAGAAGTTAGGTCGTTAACATTGGTGTTAATACAGTCTGAGAGAGAAATAGCGAAAGCCAATGTGTCTAATGCTAATATGCACATTTTAAAAGCAGATGGAAAGACAAAAGTATCAGGATCCTTGGGATCTATGTCTTTATTGGACCTGACGCCACATGGCAGATTTTACAGAGAGAGGTTTTTATCCTCGGGAAGGAAGGCGCTAAATTTTCAGTATTCTAGTTACGTAGACGCCGAGAAACGACCTTACGATGCTCAATTGAAATTAGAAATGTCTGCGGTCCATTACGTACATACTCAGAGATTTGTAGCAGAACTTCAGGCATTTTTTGGTCATTTCTCTCAGCTTTGGACTATAATGGCGAATTTAAGAGCTGGCGTGGGGGCTATTATAGATACCAATAAACGAAGCATAAGATTATCATTGAAACTTCACGCAGGTGCACCTGTGATTTTACTGCCAGTCAGTTCCAGATCCGACGAATTAATATTATTGGATCTGGGAGAACTCACTGCTCACAATCAGTTTGCAATTTCTGAAGTAATGGAGAAGTGTATGCTGGATATAATGTTTCTTGAATTGGTTAATATGGACGTTTATGCAGCCAAGAGAGTAAAGTGCGACGACCAGAACGAAAATATAGACAGCCTGGTTGTCGGTGGTTTTGTTATCAAGAAACTTGGATCGTCTTTGCTCACGGAGATGTGTCACTTAAAATTACGTATTGAGAGAAACTTGGACACCTACATTAGTAGAGAAATTCCTGATTTAAGCATACACGGTATATTATCAACGATGGATTGCGCTTTGGATCCTGCTCAGTACATGTTGATTCGGGGTCTTCTCTCTTACAATATTGGAGAAAATTTGGATGACCTGCGACAGTTCATGCAAGACTTGGACCAAACGGTTGAGTATTCTATAGTCAGCGTAAATAATGGAGAAAAGATATGGAAGAAATCGTGCATAACCCTTGAGTTAGTGAACGTCACTGTTAAGTTACATCCAAATTATAATATCGCGGCTCTGGCGTGTATTAATTTCATAAAATCTAGACTGACTCTGGATTCATTGAGTGACGGGTCTCAAGATATAGACCTAGTGTCTCAAGAGATATTGATCACGGATATGCGATTCCAAGATGAGCCCGCTAGCAGTCAGTCCAACGTTTTCACAAGTATTTTGCAGCCTTTAAGAAATTCTAACAACGAGAATCGCGTACAGGCGGAAGTACATCACAGGAGACGGAAGGCGAATGCAGCAACAACTATTCTTGTGCATAGTATGCGTTTGACTGCTATACTGGACTGGTGGGAAGCCGTAAAAGATTTTTTGATGTTGAATTCCCCAGAACCGGAACCTATTTTTGGAATGGCACAAGTGGCCACAGAGAGCAATCAGGAAAATGAAAGCAATGCTTTTGCTATGATACCGTTTGAACTAAAGATCAACATCACTGATTCAGAATTGGTAATTGTAGAAGACACATCAGTCTGTGATACCAATGCTGTGATTCTAAAGAGTACAGCTGTCCTTTCATACAGGTCTGCCCCTCAAGAAGGAGAGAAACCTCTTTCCTGCAACTTATCCCACTGCGAGTTGTTCTCCTGCATTCTAGGACTAGAAGAAGAGACTGCTCTCTCTATAATCGATCCTGTAGGGGCTAGTTTAGATCTGACGCAGGACAAGTGTCTCGAAGTACAATTTCAGCCATTGTGTGTGAGACTGAGCTACCACGATGTAACAATGTTCTCCAGGATGCTTAGTTCACTTCCGAAACAGACTTTAGTAGCGAAGCAACGTTCGAACGAAGCGTTGACTTCTACAGAAAGACAAGTACAAAAGTTGACAGCACTGGGGTTCATGGACTCTGATTGTAGAGCAGCTTTGCAGCTCTGTAATGGTCAATTAGATGAAGCGGCTTTATGGTTGACGCAAAATGCAGTACCCAATTCTGACGTTAATACCAAGAACGAGTCTGTTTTCCATACCGTTGAATTACAAATCTCCTGCGCCAGGATATGTATTATAGACGATTGCAGAGATGCCGACGTGCCACTGCTAGAAATCACATTATTGGAGCTTAATTTGAGACAGGAATGCATGAGACCTGGTCTTCTATCCTCTGCTGTTAGCATCGATTATTATAATAGAGTTCTCAGTGGGTGGGAACCTTTCATTGAACCATGGCGTGCTACCGTTCAATGGGAACAGACACCGACTAACTCCCTTAGTTCAAAAAGGCTACAGATATCTGTCGACTCTCAGGATTCTGTCGACGTTAACGTTACTTCAACATTAACCGAGTTAATAGAATTAGTGAAGAACAATTGGATGCAGGATTTTTATTTGACGTCGGTTAAAGATATAAATGTGAATAAATCGTCGGGTAGTGGCCAAGCGTATCGGCGTAGACTACCTTTCATTCCGTTTGCATTGAAGAATGAGACGGGCTGCAAATTGTGGTTCAAAACTATTATTGCCACTGCGGATGACATCAAGGAAGTAGGACACAATTTCAAGACAAAAAATGATTTTCAAAAGGATGACACGTGGATTGAAGTTACTTCAGGGAACACTGTTCCATTCACTTTTGAAGGGAGAGGAAAATTAAGGCATCACGCCACGCACACTGTTCGCAGACATCAGATCACGGTACTCGTGGAAGGATGGAATCCAGTAGATCCAGTTACAGTAGATCGTGTTGGTATATATTTCCGACACGCAAATGGAAATGTAACTGGTCCACCAGGAAACGAACGACTGGTAAATAAATTGTGCTCTCGCGTATTAATCGTTGTTGTACCTAAATAATTGATTTCAGTTTCAGATGTTGACAACGAAGGCTAGAATAGTATTTGCAGTTGAATTAGAAGGATCAGCTAGGAAATTAGTTACCGTTAGATCAGCTTTACAAATATCCAATAAATTAAGACACATGGTGGAGATCAAAATGGAGAAATCTTTAAATCATTTTGAATGTATGTTTCCTCGCTTCTTTGATACGAATTTAATAATTGATTTGTTGCTTATTTTAATGCCCTCTTCTTTTAGATTTACCTCTGACTTTGTCTGTTAGTGATAGAATTCTGCAAGTACCTGCACAATCTACCATATCGGTACCTTTGACGCATACTGGTGTGCAAATGTGTTTAAAACCCATACATTTAAACAATTTATTTCAATACTGTACGGAAACTATAGATTGGACAGTAGTAAAGAAACCATTAGAAGTTATAGAGAATCGTATTACATGTAGAGCTAATCATAATAATATATTTAGGTAGGTTTCTGTGCTGTTGAAGTAGAGTAGCGATTTTCAACCTTTTTATTTCTGTAGTAGTACTCTTGCGCCACGCTGGTTGAAAATCGCTGAAGTAGAATAATTTGATAGCCCTTTAAAATTGTTATATTTTTATAGGATGTGTGTAGCTGTGATGCGAGATTATTATCCACCGGATACGAGTCAAATGTTGCCAGCACACACCATTACCGTGATGGCTCCAATTACAGTGATTAATTTATTGCCACATGAATTGTTATACGAAGTTGGTACAGAAAGTGGTCAAATTCTACCTGGTGGTAGTGCAAATTTGCATACAGTAAATATCGAAGAGCAGCTAGAAGTCATTATACAACTAGATGGTTATTCTGGATCAGGAACGGTGAATAAATTATCTTTCTTTTTTTTTTATTTAAATTTCATTAATATTCTACCGGCGCTTAAAGTGAGCATATTTTTTCATAGATGATATTGCCGCCAAATACTAGTTCCTTCACCGCTCGTCTCAGGATGACGGATTCCGCTGGAAGGATATTGTTTCTGCATGCAGCTGTTAATATAGAAAAAGGGTCTGCCATACAAATTAACATCACCGCGCCATATTGGATCATCAACAAGACTGGTTTGCCGTTGGTGTTTCGGCAAGAGGGAGTTGGAACGGAAGCGGCCGGGCAGTTTGAGGAACACGAGAACGCAAGAATGGTAGCGCCATTATTGTTCTCTTTCAGCGATGAAGAAGCTAGCAGAACTTTATCAATGAGGGTTGGTACCGCAGTGCATCCTCATGGAATACCACAGTGGTCTCAACACTTTTATTTACAGTCTGGAATACAGGTTTGTAAATTATCTAAGTTACACGAATAATTATAAAGACATTAGAACCTTTGTAATATCATTATAACCAGCTAAAGCGGAGGAGATAACTTCCAATCACTGTGTCTTTATACCTTTAGGTACACCGTCTTAGAATATCCTTACGCGATGGTCGACCGGATATAGTTTATTTGATCAGTGTAGCTACTCGGACAGCAAGAGGAAAATATAGAGCTACAACTGTAGTTACACTGTCTCCTAGATACCAGTTGCATGATAAATCAAGTTTCACATTAGAGCTAGCACAAAAATGTTTTACCACGACAATTGTAAGTAAGAACTAAAGTTTTGTTACGTTCGTTATGTATGCGAGCGATTGTTATGTTTGAACCTTTTCAGAGCCATCCCGATGCCCAGGCAACTTATATTAAAATTATGCCAGACTGCCATATGCCATTTCATTGGCCACGTCTTGATAAAGATTTATTGTTATGTGTTCGTATCGTGAATGTTGAAGACTGTATGTGGTCAGGTGGTATAAAACTAGACGACAGTTATTCATTGACGATTAACATTAGAGATGCATCAGGAAGAATGCACTTTCTTCGTGTAGACGTGGTTCTGCAAGAAAGCACGTATTTTATAGTGTTCACTGATGCAGACACTATGCCACCACCTATAAGAGTTGATAATTTCTCGGAAGTTCCACTGGTGATCAATCAGGTGATTATTCGTAGAACCTTAATAAAAGTCATACTTCAAATTTTTTTAATTTATTCGGGTGGTTACATTCTTATCGTCTTCGTTTTCAATTTTCATTCATTAAGATATTTAAGCGAATTAATTAGAAATCATTTTCAAGATTATTCTTATAGGTCACTGTGCATAATAACCTACAATGGACTGTACGACCTCATTCGTCTGTACCATATGCGTTGGATGAACCGATACAGTCTGCAGGTTTAGTGATAACAGCACCTGGTGGTGTGACTGCCACATACGATTTGAATATACTTGGAGAGGGTAGGGGCTTGACTTACGAAAACTTTATTTATATCGCTTTCACTGGTAATTCCTATTCTTCTATCAGATATTGATGTTACTTGCTGCGAGAGTTAATCGTTACAAGCGTTGTGATTGTTGAATTTAGGAACTTTCAAAACTGATTGCGATCTTGGGACAGGGGAAGGTGGTCTTGATCCTCTGGATGTCGAAACGCAAAGATTAGTCTTAGAAGCTGGTCCTGGTGGATGGGTTGCTTTACGGAGAAAGCAATATGGGGCAAGATCCCAGTTGTGGAGGATGACCGGCGATGGGCAGCTGCAACACGAAGGTGTGCAGTGAGAAAATTCGTATCATTAACTCTGATTGTTTTTTTAATTGTTCTAAAGCGATTGTTTTGATAAACTAGGTTCTAGTCCACCTAGAGATAAACATTCGAAAACCCCGGAGATGGTGTTAGTTCTAGACATTGCGGGTACAGCACCACAGCCGTTTACGTACTGTGCGCTGAAATTAAGAAAACCTGACCCTAGAAGAAGATCAACGCAAACTTGGCGATTTACCGACGACGGTCGATTATGTTGCGTGCATAAAAATATGTGCGTTCAGTCAAAAGATGGATTCATGGGATTGCACGAAGGTTTGACAGATGGATAATAATTCTTTAGTAAAGTCTATATTTACCTTTTATTTTGACACATGTACTTATAAATTTTTTTTTCTTATTCATTGCCATTTCGTATCACTCGGTTAACAAAGCTTTCATTATTTAATTCGCTTACTGGGAATCATTACCGTCACATAAATTATTTTTCCATTTATTTTACCCATTATATCAAAACTCGAATGTTTGTTTAACCAAATTCAAAACAAAGTGGCTGTAAAAGTAAAGATACAAATTAGTTGAAAGACTCGTGTAACGTTGTCTATGTGTTCTTGATTTGATTGATTTGAAGTTTATAGTTTTCTACCCCGTTTTTCTTCCGAAAGTATATTATTATTGTGACTCGTGAAGCTTAAATTGATAATGAATGTTGCAGGCGGCTGTGTCGCCCGTTGGCAAATGTGTACGTATAGATTCGAAGTACACTAAAATCGTCAGTTATTTATAAATTTACGTATAAGTATTATGTATTAAAACTTTTGCTTGTTTTTTTCTTTAATTAGCGTTATGCGCATTAAATGTTTCAAAGGCTCAGAGCAAGATATACAGTATATGTATGCTTCTCTGTGGTCTTTGAACGATGCATGAAACAAAAGATTTTTCGTAAAATGTGTATCTTAACTTCGAGTCTTTTATGCAGCCACTTAATTTTTATTAATCTACGTATTATGCACAGATTCTGTAATTATGTTTTTTAGGGAGCGAAGCAGTATTAGGCCCCCAGATTCATAGTAGTCCCCCGCCGATCGAACAACGCGTAGGAAGACAAAAGTTACGACCAGGATCTGGTTTCCTGTCTGTCAGAGTAACAACTGACGGGCCAACACGAGTTTTACAAGTACTGGACATCAAAGAAAGGGTATACATATGTTCGTTGCAAACATATAAAGAGAAATATTAAAATAATTACCAATAACCCTTTACAGAAGAAAACCTTTGCTTTATTGGAAGAACGCGATTGGTCACACATTGCTGTTAGCCACCGTCCAACTCAAATAAATACAGACGCCGAAAACCTAAATTCCAAAGAGTTAGAACTAAAAGTTAATTTAATAGCTGGTCTCGGTTTGTCAATTGTTTCTCGAAGGCCTGTGGAGGAGCTGTTGTTTGCACGATTGGCTGGTATTTCGTTAGAATTTGTACAAACCCCTGCCAATACCACCTTAGATCTGAGTATCGAAGATATACAAATTGACAATCAGTTGTTCGAAGCACAGTGCACGTCTGTCTTGTACGTGACTCGAGCTACTCGCACGGAAAGTGAACCCAGACCGTCGATACACGTGGTTGCCGAGAAGCTGAAGTCTAAAAACCAAAATGCCGAGATCTATAAACACGTGATTGTGACCATTAAACCGCTCTGTATACATTTGGAAGAAAAGTTGATCTTGAAAATGGCTGCTTTTGTCGGGACAGGGAGGTCGGAGTTGGAGGTTCCGGTAGACGAGAATGATTTTAAAGCGCAAAGATTTATATCCGAAGTGTCTGCGGCGCACGCCAAGCGATACTACTTTGGCGCGTTAAAGATCGTCCCTAGTCAGATAAAATTGAGCGTGCTCACCACCATGAAACTACCGCGGCATCTTCAAGCAATAAAGAGACAATTGGGTTTAACTTTAATCAAATTCGAAGACGCTACGATCGAATTGGATCCTTTTCTCAAGAAACATCCTTTCGAAAGTACTCAGTTTCTGATACATTCCATTATAAAACATTACAAAGATGAATTGAAATGGCAAGCCGCCGTAATATTAGGATCTGTGGACTTCTTGGGCAATCCCCTTGGCTTCGTGAACGATGTCACCGAGGGTGTCTCTGGTTTGATTTACGAAGGAAGCGTTAAAACGTTGGTGAAGAATGTCACGCACGGTATTTCGAATTCAGCTGCTAAAGTGACAGAGTCTCTGTCGGATGGGCTAGGACGTGTCATAATGGATGAAAGACACGAGGAAGCTAGACAGAGGATTCGAGCCAACACCGCAGGTAGCAGTGATCACTTGGTAGCTGGTCTGAAAGGTTTTGGCTTCGGATTGTTAGGAGGCGTTACGAGTATTTTCAAGCAGACATACGACGGTGCCGCGAACGAAGGATTTCCAGTACGTAAATTTATTATGTTGGGCGTGAGCAATTATAGAACAATCGGGTTAGAGGGTGATTCTTTAATATGTCCGTATTGCCTACTGTTTTCAGGGTTTCTTTGCTGGTTTTGGTAAAGGAGTTGTTGGTACGATTACCAAACCGGTTGTAGGAGTTCTAGATCTGGCCACGGAAACTGCCACTGCAGTACGAGAGACGAGTAGAAGGTACGTGGTGTACAAAGTGGGCAAAGAAAAAGTTCAGGATTAAGACGAGGTTTTGAAGTTTCTCAATGTTTAGAGTCTCCTAGATTTTTCAACTCGTTTTCTCAATACCTTTTGCGAATTGAAGGTATATCGTGACCTGTTTGTGATGTCCCCAGTGCTCATCGTACGATACCAAAACGGGACAGGCCTCCTCGTGTCGCGTGCGGTCCAGCTGGTTTATTACCTCCATATAATCGCCAACAAGCAGAGGGCCAAGAATTTCTTTATATCGTGAACGATCACGACTACTCGGAACTGTTTGTAGCGTACGAATGTTTGCGAAGCGGAACGGAGAATCTAAGGGTGTTGGTGTCAAACGAGAGGATCCGCGTTATTTCTGGCGGCACCAAAGGGGTCGTGACCGAAGTCAGCTTGGCGGACTTGCTATATTGCCAGCCGATGCATAAACCCGAAAGTAACAATGTAACGTTGTATTATATAGAATTAATATCTAGATCGGATTCGGCGGTGGCTGTCAACGTAGATGGCCCTGAACTATTGAGGAGACCGAAAGTCCGATGCGATAACGAGGATGTGGCCAAGCGAGTGGGTATCGATAGAAAGTATATTGTCAAACGTTATTTTTGAATGATCGATATTTTACAGGTATCGCAACAAATTAACTATGCCAAGGGGATGCACGAGGAACGCAGTTTGACTCTTTCTTCGTCGGACAACATGTTGGATGACGTTCAGTACTACAAATAATTGCAAATGACCGCGCACCAATATTTTCTACTTTGAGTTTAATGTAACCGTATATATTTCGTATGCTAGTCAGTTCTTTGATTTCTGTATTTGTTTTTTTCTTTTTTTAATAGTGCACATAATGATGCCTTATTACGCTTAAACTAAGTTGACGATAAGACTGATGTAAGGCACCATCGATACCGCAGCATCTATAACGAGTACGTGAAATTTTCTCGAGCGCAACAGAATGTATCAGTTTCACAATACATTTAACGAAAAGACGTGAGAATATTTGGTTCTTGTACAGCTAGTGCACGTATAATTTTGATACTGGTATTGAGATCAAGGAAAAAATCTAAACGGCGTGAGATTTTTTAATAGTGTATATATATGTATACGTACAACGTGTAAAATATAGGCGGGTAAGATATTTATTTGCAGGAACGTAATCTACTTAAATCGATGTTACATAAAAAAAAAAAAGAAAAAATGACAAAAACCAAAGTTTTTGCATAGAGTAGGAATGATATTCATTTTTTTTATTAACGAAGTTTAATATTTTACAAAACTATTTCGATTTCGACAAACTGTATTTGTTATGGTATATCAAACATAGCGTTGCGTGAAAGATAATGCCACTAACGATTATGTTAACTGTACATTCTTCTAACAATTGCGTGTGTAAAGGTATTAATTTAAAACTAGTACGGATACTGTAAGACCAGGAATATCAGCTTAAATACTTTTTACAAAGCTGGTATTTTGTACAGTTTAAATACAGTATATATCTTTATATTACAGTATAAATTTATGCTATTCGATGATTAACGCTGTGTATATAAACTAATAAGTATCAAACGTGTTGATGATATGTATAATAATCTGTATACAATTGTCTAGATTTGTTACATCCTGAAATTTCCACGCAGTCGATATAATTTAATAAATAAATCCTATTTTTGTTTGATACGTTATCGTTCCACTTGTTATCGAGTTTTAATATAGCATAATTTACTATACAATCTATATGATTATCCTCCTCCGAGATCAAGGAAAAAGTAGGCGTAATTCGCCAGTCGATATTGTGTCTGTGTGTTATCAGTGACAAGTTTGGTGTCAGAAGCATGGCGCCTTTCGTGATTACTTGAAACGTCGGACTCTTAATTGGAATTAATCGAATAAACGTGCATAATTTTTAGCAACAGAAATTGGCTTTTGAAGAATATATCGGTCGTCACGCATCCGTGAAATAATCGACGAAGTACGTCGTATAATTGGATCTTCAAAGTACACAGGAGAACGATAACCTCGAACAATGGACGAAACCTATTTTGATGAAGGTCCAGCGGGAAATTTCGAAACAGCAACACTCGAAATTACCAAAGACCTGGACGAAAATGAACTCCATAAGTCGAATTCTGTGCCTGATGGTGAGTTTATTATCTATTTAAGTTCTGGGCGTATGTAAATATGGAACACAATATCACGTAAATTATTGAGTGATACTTAGCGATGTTTGTCTTTGCTTGTTTGTAATGTTTGTAGGATTCTATTAGATTCTTCGGATATCGTTTTAAGCTTGATATCTAATGTAATAATTTGTAGAAATATGTTTTTTCATATTTGTAAGGAATCAATGGTACGCGAAGAAACATGGAAAACCAAGATAATGCATCAAATCAAATTCCAATGTCAAAGAACGTTTCCAATATTCCTTTCAAGCATATAGATATACGTTCCTTTTTTGTGGATAGAAACGAAGTTGTAGAAAGAGCTATAAAAGATTGCCAAGATAGTTTGATAAACGAAGAAGAAAAGGACATAGTTGGGAGCTGGCTCTTGACCGAGTGAGGAATCGTCTTTATGTATATAAATTTTAGTAAGTTGTTGTACAGTGCTGCGACAAACATTTGAAAATAATGTTTGCAGAATAAGCTTATGGGATATTGAGAAGGAAAGACTTATAGTACTTACCAAGAAAGCTCTCTACTCTGTAAAATACGACTTTATTTCCTTAAAAATACTTGAGTATAATAGAGTACCTTTATCGCAAATCGATACTCTAATTTCGGGTGAACTGATTTATCCATCTTCGTCTTTAACTCCGTAAGTGTTATAATGTGTTTGAAATTAATATATTCTAACTAAATTGTAGGTCACAAAAATGTCCGTCGATTAGATATAACAGGAATATAATGCATAGATTTATAAATTTATGAACAAATACATTTACACATTTTTAGACGATTAAGTGGATTGGCAGAGGGCATGTCATCAATGTTTAATTGTGCAGTTCGTCAAGAGTGGTCTTCTCTTGTCTCTTGTACCGGTCTAGCACAATTTGAATCTAGGTACATTAAACTCTTACGTAGAGTTGGTGCCTTTTTTACTTTAAAAATGGACTGTTTTGCACTTTTTGGTTACTTTATTTGTACAATCTCAGTTGTACCATCAATATTGGGCCTCTGTGTACTGAATGTTTATCCTAATGGTCGCACAGAGAACAAAGTACAATAGTGCCCACATAAGTGTCAAGTTACTCTCAAGTTACGCGTAAGAATTGGTGGGGATAACCGCCGTCATTTAAGCGGGCAAAAATCGATCACTTATACGGGCGCTACTGTACTCATTAACTTTTATTCTAAACATTTTTTCGTCAGATTAGTTGCAACTGTTAGAGCGGACACCCTGCATATTTTTCCTTTCATAGAATGCACAAACGCACAAAAATTTATTTGATCTGTTTAGAAATTTTGTTTTAATTGAACTGCAGTTAACTTTCATATAAATGTAGTATTTTAGAAGAATGTAATTTAGAGGAATGTTGTACTTATGCTTGCGGACTGTTGCTTTAGCAAATAACATATTAGCATTCTTTTTTATGACATTAATTTTTTGGGAATATGGTGTTTAAAGAGCATCAATGATTTCGATTCTTTTTTTAAATTCTATTGAAATTAACTCCTCAGGAAAAGATACATATCTGGAATAAGACTAATGTGGAACAAGGGTAATCCATTACCACTAAGCAAAAAATGGAATCCATTTGTAAAAGATATACCATGGCTCACATACACCAGCCATCCATTATTTTGGCATAAAGGTAAATGTATTTCTATTCTATGCTCGTAGTTGTATAAATATATTATCAGAAATATGTTTTAAACATTTTTTGTAGGATCAGAAGCAGACAAAGCGAAATTTGACGTTGATGGTTTGCATTCGTCGATTGTAGGTTTATTGTCATCGGAATGTGTCATAAGACCTGGCGCTATTATCGTAGAAAATTATTTTGGTTTAGGTGCTTTAGTACACAACAGAAACGGATTAGGTTTCTTCAAGATTCGGGGTAAAATTAGCTTTTAAAGATTGTGGTTACAGATTTATAATTTCTCTTCAATTTATCATAGAAATTTCCATTTCAATTCCTAATCTTCATATATCTATTTGCAAAATTTACAGTATTTATAAAGAAGTTTCAAAAACTTATAACGATATAAGTATAGTTTAAGTAGAGAAACTTCTCTACAGATTTATATTTATTTAATCCTATTTAATTATTTGCTTATATCGCATGCATACAGAGCGTGCCATAACTTGTAGAAACCCACTTTAACGGAAGGCCGGATTAAAGCTTTCGAGGTGTGGGTCTGAGGAACGATTCGAAGCTCCCTTGAAAAGTGGAGGATAGCGGGATTTGTAGGTATTTTTAAAAGCGGAAGCGTCGTTTTAAAAAACTCTTTCATCCTGTTTTTCTCCGAAAGTCACTTATAACCCGGAAAGTTAAACAAATTTTTTCATTTAAGTATTTATAAGCATTTATTTTGTTATTTGAAAAAGTGAGGTCCCTTGAAGAATGGGGCCCGAGACTATAGCTTCCCCCTTAATTCGTGTCTTCTTCAGCGGCGTATGAGGGCTACGAAAACAACGATAAGAAGTCGCAGTTACTTACGTTAGAACTCAGGAACAAGATCGAACAAGGTACACGCTCATTCTTTATTGTTTTTATTCTCCATATGTCGCTGAAGGTATCCTACGTGTTACGAAGCATTCCGAATATTATAAAAAGTTTTATTATCTAAAATCGTACCGTACCTGGTTGATACGAACTTAAAAATAAGTGTGTATGCATGTACAGTGGTGTGTGTTTAGCCGTAATAATTACGTATGTAGAGTTGTGGTTAGATTAGGAGGTCTCTGGAATTGTTGGCTCGGAGCGAGCCTTGGCGTTATCTTCAAGGTTGTGCCATAATTAATGCAGTACAGCGACAAATCCGACCAACCAACCGACAAAAGGTTGTTGTTTTATATTACCTGTTTAGTTACGAACTATACATTTTAGGATTTGTACCGAAAAAAACTTCTTACAAGCTTTCTATGACGAAGTCTAAGTCTAAGAAAAAAGGTTGTAGTTCCTAACTAATTTTATTAATTTCTCGTTATGCATTCGCTAATGTAAACATTTATATTTTTTTTTCTACGATAATATTTGCTTGAATCGAATTGTGCCACGAATGTATTATGTATGAACGAGTGATACAAATCGGTATTAACACGACAGAAAAGAAACGAAGGACATTCCATGATCGTATTTAGATTGGCAACGCGTGGCTGTGCAGTTTGTTATTTATTGTATGTATACACAATTTTGCGAAGTTATTAATTTCCCGAAGTGCATGAACGACCTATTTTATGAAATAGATGGATGGAAAAGTATAAAAATCGTGTATTAGCGGATAAGGAATGGGAAAAAGTAGCAGAACATATGCTTTGCGCTCTCAGCTAACTAAATAATACAGTAGGATAACAATATTTATTGTAAACCAGGAAAAATAATAATCTGAACTTCAGTGTCGATGTAAATATGGCGTCGGCGAAACAAGTTGTCAGCAACCCCAAGATAACTTGTTTTTTTTATTAGTTGCGGGTGTTTTTCACTTGCGATTGTTTCTTATTTTCTTTTACTGTTTTGTGATAAGAGGGATCAGATCTCGTTTCTCTGCTTTTTCAATTACAGAACGCGTAACCTAACAATGCTGCAATTAAACAAACAACACTGTACATCGCATTAGAATAATTTCTCTTGATCATAATAATAAATAAAAGTAATTATCCTTCGAAACGAAGGTTTGTAGTTTCATTTTGATTCAAACATGGTTTGAAATCATTTTGGAAAACGGTCGTTTAAATAAATTTAGGATAAATTTAGATATGCATGTTCCGCGTCGAGAAAAATTAAAAAGTTCTTTGTTATCTTGAACTTATGTTTTACAAACATAAGCAGTTAATTGTTTTTCGTTTTTAAGGGCTGATACACGTTTGAACATTAACGCATTGTCTTATTTTAAGACTACATAGTGTAACTTTTAGAAAATGAATCGGATTGGTCTCATAGGTGGCGACACTGCATTACTCAACTATTTACTCTTAAGTTCATCAAACATTATGAGTTTAATTTTCGCTAATATTCTTAGTAAGTTGTTGAATTTTGTAATGTTAATCAATCCTGAATAATTATTAACAATATCATAACACTTCTGGTAACTTCGTACAGTAAATATCTACTAGCTTAGATGAAGATAGACCAGGTAAAAATATTGTTGATATATTCTTAAGTATATTCTGACATAACATTTTCTTCTTACTTAAATGCAAAGAATATGTTGACAAAATTTGGTCGTTAGAGTCTAGGACACTTTGTATACTGTTTGTAAACTGTTAAACGAAGAAAACGGAGTTGGAAGGTTTCATTTGTAGACAGGGTTCCGATAGAACTGGAATGATGTCCAAGGTACCGCTTTCTTCGACGCTCGGTTTCCTGAAGAACAGTTCCCTCAATAACGTTCCATCCGTAGAAGACTCCTCCAGATCGTGTTTACTCTTGATCCGTGCATTGTGTGGACGACACGAGACGGATTCTTTATCGATCTCTTCCCGAACGCATCTCTTATCGAAACTGAAACACAAAACGTTTAAAAAAAACAGTCATAAACGCCAAAAGTTTTCGATAGTTTAATGTAAACACCGTGTAACATATCTGCAAATTCTGGAACGAAAGTTAGCGTAACAAGCGATCGATATCGCCACATTTAGAGAGCTTTGATTTGTTATTGCGTATCTATTGTACAGGTAGAGTCATCTAATGCGTTCATTTTCGATTATTTACAAACTGTAATCACTGTATCATTTCAAGGTCAATAAGTATGGCGACAGTAATTCCACGTTTCACAAAGCCTCAACGCGGGAGGCCAGATTTTGAATCTTTAGGGAATCTCATATTGTAAAACTAGCAACGCGACTCTTTTCGTTAACGGAAAATTTAGATAAAAATTGTTCATTCCCCCAGAATTGTAAATTTCCTTACGTTGTTATCTCAGTTTCTCCAGTTTGGCAGGTCCGATGAACCTTCTCCGCGAGATTCTTGCAACGTTGCAGTCTCTCCGCCTCTAGTAGCTCCTTAGTTCTCTGAAATTTCGACTGTAACGTGTCAGATTCCGTCTGCTTTTGTTCAAGAGCGTTCTGTAGACGCGACTTTTCGCGCACCAAATCCCTGACTATCTCCGTAAGCTCGAGAAATTGTTTTTCTTGAGCGGCGACCTGTCGCGTCAGTAGATCCAGGATTCGCGAAATTCGAGTCTTCAGCTCGTTCGTCTCGGCTCGGGCTTCCGTTAGCTGATAGAAACGCGATTTAAAATGTTAGACAGAATTACTGGACTCGTAAAATCCCTCTAAATTACTTCCGTACGATTTTAGCGCATGTAATGCGAGACGAAGTTGCGTGAAAAGTAATAAGAGAGTATTATATGAAGATCGGTTGCAAATACTTTGTTACAAAGATATTGAATGCAACATAAAGTAGATGATGGATTTTCTGTAACGTAGCGTTTACTTTAACGTGTTAATTGCCATGGTGGTCACCGGTGACCGGCGCTTTAAACTTATCAAACAAATCGATTTGTCTGGGTCAGATTAGTAATATACGACTGGTTCAATTCATAGCTTCGACGTTGACACGTTTATTAACAATTAAATGCAGGGTAAATTACGTAACTTGTTCAGCCGTATTATGTTTATCGTTACCGTACCGATCAAAATTTGTTTATCATAAATGGTATTGCATTGATATGATAACGTTACTTTAAATTCTAATTGCTTTTTTTCTGTTTCCCGACGATCCAGCGATTTTTGGTATTGGCTCCTTATGGCATCTTTCTCGGATTCGTTGACCACCAGTTCGGATTTCGCGTCGTGCATTTCTTTCGTGCATCTAAAAGCCGGAGATCCGTCTGGGTATGTTTTTTAAATTATAATATAATTTAAATCTTGTCGCAAGTATAATCAATTCGAAACGAACGTTAAAAAAACTATAATATATCGCTAAACTAAGAATGTAATTTGTGAAAACGTTGATGGTATATAGCGGTACAAGAAAAGGGAAGGAAGAAGGAAAGAACGAATTTTTTATCGTAAAGAAAAGAAGCTCTAAACCAAATTGAATATTGCGAAGTTGAGAAATTGCTTTCCTACAAAGAGTAGAACACATATATTTTTCACAGAGTCTATTGTGCGGGTAGACGGGAGAGAAACATTAGAGTGAACCATGAAAATATCAATTTATGAATGAAAATATTATTGTATTTGTCTCTTTTTGTATTCCATAGGTTCTTATTCTTTTCCCTGAATTTAGGAAAAATTTGTACCCCAGAGAGTGTGACTTGAAATATTTAAATTCTACAAATGCTGCAGGAACTTATGAGATGATTTAATATACAAAGAATAATTATAATATTGTATCTACGGGCTTTGAAAATCTATATAAGGAATTTAATTTCAAGAGTATGCTACATTATGAATATTAATATGAACTCAGGAGGCTTTAGTTCTTTGGTACTCCCTATAATCCTTCTGAGTCTCTTGCTAGGGATTCTGCAATTAGTTCATATGCCCTAACAATCCTCACTTGTGTACAAAATGGCCAACTCGCAAATTGCATCTGGTTTCTGTAGAACGTAAAAGAAAATCTGAACAAATTAGATTTTAATTAGTCACCGAGTAAAATATTTTTCCAAACTTCTGGAGTCCACTATTGGCTAAAAAAAATTCATTATTTGAATTCGTTGAGAATTATTGAATATTCAGAAAGATGTTAATATTTCTATTTCTATTTATAATTAGTTTCCTACTTTTTCTTAGAATTATTTTCTATCAGATTAGGGTATATTCGAATTTGTGCCAGTATCGTGTTTCAATTCTATTTAATTAAAATTCTAGATTTTCTGTGGAACATATTCACATTTAGTTCTGATTTTTCCCCCATAAAACCAGTCATTTTTAAATCCTCGGTGATATCTGCAATTTCATGGATTCGTTTTTATGAAGTTTTTATCAGCAATGTTAGAGTGCAATTGTAGTACCATTTTTCAAATTATGGGTGACTGTTTACATATCTGAGAATAATGAAACGAACAAGATCTCGTAAACTTTCGTATGGTGTCACGCAACAATCATTTAATACCACGTACATGTGTGTAAATGTGCACTTTGTACTTATGTGTACAATCATACGCGAATCGATCACAGTCATGCTACATGTACGTACAAATGATCTAGAAAGACTTAAAGAAGCTATTAGCACGCAAATGTGCAAGAAATATGCGCACAGTATGCAAATAATATGCAGTATGCAAAATAAAATATGTGTTTTTCAAATTTCCCAACGTCAAAACAAACTTTATCTCGATCCAATTTCTTTATCACTTTCCTGCAAAAATATGCATTTGCATAAACGTTCTTCGTCCAGCCATAACAATCGTGCTTTGTCAATATTTTATGCAAACTATAAATAATAATGCAACTCATGTTATATGCATGTCATTTTACCAAAATGTTAACAAACAATTCGAACTTTTCCTTTTATAATTTCGTTTAAAAACTATAATTGCTTTTCTTTACTATTTTTCTGAAATATTTTCCATGAGACCTCCAATTTTAAAGTTTGACTTCAAAATTTTCTTCCTTGTACAATTTTACTCATTGCATATTTATTTTGATTTTTTACGTGAATTATAAAATTTATACAGGGTGTTCGGCTACCCTGTATAAATTTTAATGAGAGATTCTTGAGGCTAAAATAAGACGAAAACCAAGAATATCAATTTGTTGATTGAGACTTCGTTAAAAAGTTATTAACGTTTAAAGTTCCGCCAGTATTGAATTTTTTTCTCGAAAATGCGCAGGATTTCGGGGGTATGTCTATTCACAAAAAACGATTGTAATTAGCCCCCACAATCGAAAATAATTTTTCTAAAGCGATTTGAAATTTTTTAATTTTTGTCAAAAAATTTCACACCTCGAATTTTTTTCTAGAAAATGGGTAGGATTTTGGGGGTATGTCTATTGACCAAAAGCGATTGTAATTAACCCCCACAAACGAAAATAATTTTTTCAGAACGATTTGAAATTTGTTAATTTTCGTCAAAAAATTTTACTTTCTCGAATTTTTTTCTAGAAAATGGGTAGGATTTTGGGGGTATGTCTATTGACCAAAAACGATTGTAATTAACCCCCACAAACGAAAATAATTTTTTCAGAACGATTTGAAATTTGTTAATTTTCGTCAAAAAGTTTTACTTTCTCGAATTTTTTTCTAGAAAATGGGTAGGATTTCGGGGGCATGTCTATTGACCGAAAATGATTGCAATTGACTCCTGCAGCCGAAAATAATTTTTTTAGAACAATTTGAAATTTTTTTTTTCACCGAAAAATTTCAGCAGCTACCCCCTGTCGATTATTCTTAGAAATTTGTTTTTCATTTTTAATAAACTTGTTTGACGCTGTACGGAGAAGTTGTCTAATACTCTCTTGTAGGTACCCATGGGCTCTGTTTCAGAAAAAAATTTCAATAAGATACCTTTACTATTGTAGGAATTATGGCTATTTGAAAATTGGACCACTTTTATGTGGGTTTTCTCATTTTACGGGGCCAAGGAGCAACTTTTCCAATATTTTTACGATTTCTACATATTCTTCACTAAAATACGCGTTGATTGCTTTTTGAAAAATTAAAATCCCCCAATCCGTTCAGGAGTTATGATATTTTTAACATACGCTTGAAATTTCAGTGAAACATATCAATGTATGGTCAGACATATTTACTATAAGGAATTTTTTTCTCGAATGTGCGTAGGATATCGGGGGTATGTCTATTGACCAAAAATGATTGCAATCGACCCCGGCAACCAAAAATAATTTTTTCAGAACGATTTGAAATTTTGTAATTTAATTTTTTAATAACTTAATAACGAAGCCTCGGTCAAGAAATTGATATTCTTGACTTTAATTCGTATTTTTTAAGATGGACCAGCAAAATATACGGTCACTTATGGACGATAATATACATGCTTATAATAAAATTCGTCTGATTCGATTTCTCGATTCTCCGCGATAGGGCTATCTAAACGAAAATCGTAAAGCGTGTCGTCTTTTTATACAATTTGCTACGCGACGCTACATCCGCAAGTAGGTCGTAAAATGGTCGATATGTCTGCTTTGCGACGTCTCGTATCATTCTTCGTACGAAAAAATCGTAACGCGAATGGGCCGCTCGAGATTCTTGTCTGCGCACCAACTTTCATTTCCATAATTCCGTACGCGATACTCGACGGGAACAAGCGTGCTTATATGCAATCGCGACGCTATTATCTTAATCGAAATCGAGCCCCCGTGCCTAATGCTGATATTCCGATCGTCGAAGAATTATTTCGACCGATACGGGGTTGCAACGCATGAAACTCAAGCGTTTCGCGTTATGCAACTGCTCTGCACCAAGAAACAGATAGTTTGCCTCAGAGTTAGGCGTTAACAATTAATAAAAGTTTGCAATTGATCTTGTAATCGATATAATCGATATAAATCCTTTTTACCTACCGTTGAAAGCATACAACGAATATAGAATAAATTGAAAATACATATTCCGTTATATGATTTAAACTATCATTTTTTTTAAACATTTAGATATCTCTAAAGGAAAGTAAAACAAAATGAGCTCCGCGTTTAACCACTTTGACGTAACAAAACAGTATTTTAACGAGTTTTTTGAGATAACATTGTATATCTGATTCAAAGAAATTTTTTCTAGAAAGAAAATTGTCAATTCGTCGAGATGAACTCTCCAGAAAAGAAACTTTTGGAAACAGTCGAACTAACAGTGCATCGATTTTACCAGCGAATCATCTGAGTAATCATCATTGTGAGTAAAACTAACACAAACATTCTAAACCTAGAATAAGCCCATAATTATGAGCGTTAAGTTTAAGTAAAAGATAAGTTTTCAGTAGAAAAATATCCAAATCAAGAAATAGCAGAACACGCGTTTTCTCGGTTTATCGAATCCAGAAACCCAACATTGCATGGAAACGATATAATAAATATCGTAACGTAGGAGGAATATTTGAACGCCGAACGAATGAATAATACGTTTACGTAAAAAGTGGGAGTGTGCGTGGAATATTTCGAGCGAAAGAAGCCGACGTTTCATACGTTACAACCTAATACTTTGACAAAAGCGATCGACGAGATCGTTCCCCAGGGTTGACAGAGTTTGCCAACGCCGACAGACACAAATTACGCGGTTCAACTTTTAATAGCTGCCGTCAGAATTACCAAACTTGTACCGAAGATAAATTTTCACGTATGGAGAATATTCTCGTATCTGCCGGGTCCGTCCGGCGAATTAACACGTTGGCTACCAGTTTTATCTGTTTAAGAATATTCTTGGCAGTTTCCCAAACGATAGAAGCATTCAATGACGTGTTATTTCGTAGTATTCCTAATATTTCTGACGTTCTTCAAAAATTTACAATATACATACGTATTGTAGTAAATAGAAATTATTAATTATTCTGACAGGCGAAAGAATAAATCTGATACCAATTACACGAAGTTGAAATAATATTATACATTATCATCATTTGTAATGTATAATCCATATTTCTCATCACTGTTTTAAATTTATTGAACCGAGCAATAATATTGAAGTCAAATAATCAGTTTTTCTTCTTCTTTTAGATAGTTGAAAAAATAGTAAAATGCATTAGATTTTGAAAATTTCAGTTTGAATTATAAAGGTAGATGTGTTGAAGATTCCTTTTAAATTCAGTGCCAATTAATCGATTAAAAGAGATATTATAGCAACCATATACACTTCTTTTTAATATTTTCACTGGATTCATTGTAGCTCCTATAATTTTGAATATTTTTGAACAAAAAAAATTTTGGATACTCTTGAAGTATAGAGCTGAACGTATGGATTCAAATTGAATGAAACAAATTTTTAAACTATTAAGAAGTCACATTAATAGTGTCCATGATTTAATTTTATTGCCAATATGTATCAACTATGGTTTTACAACAAAAACTATTTAACACTATCTTTTGCACTAAGATGGGAACAATTGGAAATTTGTGTTTATTTTACCTTTCGTTTTATATCTTGTTATCAGTGTCTACCAATGGTCATATCATATAATTCTCATCTAGAAAAGGCCAAACGTAATTTGAACTATGGAGGATTAATATATGAAATGTGTATCACGAGATTTGGTTGTTTCAACATATTTTTTCGGCACTTTTGGACTTTTAATTAAAATATCTTTGCTCTTAGAACGCGTAGAACAAACGTGGGCATTTTTTTTTTATGTAATTGGAGGTCGAGCAATCGATTGATTCCACTTAGAAGTTAAACTATGTCAGCCATTACCGCGGCTCGATAATTTGACTCCGACTTAACTAATGTAAGTGCTTTGCATACAAATAAGTGACGTGTCTCTTGACAAATGAGCTGAACAATGACTATGTTCCACGCAATAATCACGAACTGCACAATTCTCACGTATTGTTGGACAGAATAGCGCCGCGAATTGTAAACAAAACACATAGTGCTTTGTTTGCATTGTCATAGTGTTATGTTACGCGGCACTGTTGTTGCGTTGCAGTTTAATTTCAACGAGCTAGCCATGATTTGATCTATCCACGCCCATATAAATAAAATCCGTTTTGTCTCTATCTGATTTTTTATCCCTTTTTTTATTCGTAAAAGGATTTTTATCCTTTGATAAGGGTATAGGAATTTGAAGACACACATTGTGTTTTAAAGAATAGTTCAACAAAATTGAAAGTATCATTGCTATTTTATTAGTTTTTTTTTTAAAGGCGAATACTGTGTTCGAAGTTTCGAGAATTTAAAAAAGCCAATATGAATCCATAGATTATAAATAACGAATGGTCGGTCCAACGTCAATGTTAGTATTTAAACAGATAATATTCTTACTTGATCTTAAGCGCGTACGTCGAGTATTAATATGCTGCAGGGCACTCAGCAGGATAAAAGGATTTTTATCGCTGCAGGAATTAGCTTCGTCACGAGGATATTATATAGAGTGGATTATTAACCAGAAAGTGAATTCGTATTGTAAAGAATATGAAAGACGCCTCAGAGACTCGAGTTTAGTGTTCTCACCAACCGATAGCGTACGAACACAGTGTCTCTGATCTCGTTTCTACGAAATTAAATACGAGAAATTTACCATACAATGTCTATTTGTTACATTTTTCAAATCTCTGACGATTGGTCCATGAAAGAAGTTAGTCTGTGAAAATGAAAATTTTTGGATATTTTATTCGAGAATTGCGAGCTTCTATGAAGATAATTCGTAAACTTTTATACAGCACGATGAAAACTATAGTTATCCAAGACTTCAGCAGTCTAGTGTAGACTATGGACGCGATGGGTATAATTATTGGTCCCAATGCAGCTGACGCTGCTAGAAACATGGACGAGACAGGTATTTCCATCGCGAAAGTACGAAAGTTACAAAAAAGGTTGCACTAGTTACAAGATAAGAGAGCTTGTCGTTGTTAATAAAAATTAAGAGTGTTATAATGTCCGAAAGGCTCGTTAAAGGTATAAAGTATCAAGATTACCATAGAAATAACAGTTTCGATAAGTTTAATCGTGCTTTTTTTAAAACGCTGCAAATTATAATTAAGCATGTCCACTCTAATTACCAAGACAAAATTATAGCTTTATTATTCGTTGGAATCTACTTTTGCTTCTCAGAGAGACTTCTTAGTGGTCTTTATTCCCCTATAAAACGACATTTTTTGGAAACGTACACACCTGTAATTGTACCACTTAAAATGGTTTCTGTTCTGCAGATATCGTTGTCTAAAGAATGGCGTAATTTTTAAAATTCCACTTTTCGTCTTACAAAAGTCTATTAACGCGCGTTAAAAATAGTTAAACTTTACACACTTGCAGTTCCGTAACTATTATTGCTTTTCATTTATGTCGATTCGACTTTCCGTTTTGGAGATATTATAATTTAAATGAAAGGAGTGACTTTTTTATTCGACTATCTCTGTCTCCGTCTTGCGCGTCAGACCTCTCTCTCTCTCTCGCGCATGCGTCGTGATAATCGTGACCGAGTGACCTATTTGCTACGAACACGTGCAGGCCAACGACCTTACCAAAAAGTAAACAAATGCTTCGAAACCTCATATCTCCGAAACTAATAACCCGATCGACTTGAACGAACACTCGTTTTAAAGGGCTTTATATCCTTTATCCGACGAATATACCAACTATTATTATTTATGCTGTCTTTCATGTTTATTTTGAAATCTATTTCGATTCTATGCGCTCAAACAAGTTTCCGTGGTATAAAACTGTATTATAAATTGTTTATTCAATCGAAAATGAATTTAAGATAAACTCGAGTCCCCCGGAAATTAAACATTGTTCACCACTGGTCAGCGCGCAATGTTTCCATAGACAACGTTGGCAATAATAAGATGAGATCGAATGAAAACGGTCTCAGGTTATTAATTAGCGCGCGTTAAGGGATTTTACTTAATCAACTGCTTAACAAGCTGGGCTATCCTTTTCCTGTCGGCTGGGCAGAGATCCTGGATGTGGGGGAACATGGCCGCGTTCTCGTCCGCTTCCGCGGTGGCTCCGTTGCATTTTGAGCAGAACTCCTCGTCGGCCTTCACCTCCTCGCTTTCCGTCGAGATCGTTTGTCTGCTCCGAGATTAAACATTTACAATATTTCTCGTTATTAACAGAAATGAATTGACGCTACGCGCCGGCACGGAACGTTGGAAGTGCCTCTCGAAATTGTTTCGCTCTACACCGATTCCATTCTAACGCCGCGTCGAAAACCAAAACGAATTCGCGAAATGGAACGAGGAGAAAGAGCAAATTAATTATTGTTCAACGTTTTGCAGAATAATTAAATATCTTTCGCGAGGAACAAAACCGCTGGGGCAATGATTTAATATTCTGGAAGCTGGATGTTTTTACTCAAATAATTGTTCGTCCGAGTGGTACTTGGATAATTCATTTTACTTCGTTTTCGATGAAAATACGGGCACTGAAGTAATTTACTCCTCTCCAAACACGTTTTCGTTTAAATTTTCTCATTTTGAAACAAAATTTCGTGGCCAGTCGTTGTTGTATATGGTATAACAAGATCAGAGTCATAAAATTTGGCTCATTTATTAATTAGTTGCAACTACAGCCCAGTTGGATGGTCCATATAGTACTCTTAGGAAAAGATCAGTCCTTAATTATTTTATTCTAAGACTTTTGTACATTAATCACAATTGCAACGATCGAATACTTGCTCAGAGAAACGTTCTATTACTTTGAAGATCGTTAACAGGTCACTCGTTACTAATTTTTTAGATACTCAGGTATTCCAAATATGCTTCCTCTACGCATTTCATTACAACTCAAGTATTTCACTATCGTAAACTACTTAAACAGAGACGTACGCGAATAGAAACGAATTTTACCACGAAACGTGTAGCTCGCGAGGCACGTGCGCGTTGGGAATTGCGTTTGAAACGGCGGGCACGGATACGTAAGGGGCAATGTACCGTTTCATCTTTCGCTGTTGCCAATAACAGCGCGATCGCTCGAGTCAATAAGTAGCATCCTAACGAACTGCAATTGCTCGAAACGAAATTTAACCTACGCGGCGGTAGGAGCCTGAAATTAGTTGAATTCGATCACCGACCTTCATCGTTCTCGTGCATGTGCTCGTTCCCCCGATAGATTCGCAGGATACTTTGATGGTGTCTGGCCAGTCTGCTCAAAGAGTTCGTTTTGTCGGCGTTTAGCCTCCCCTCGATAGAAATAATAAGGCAGGACACGGGGAGAGATGAATTACAGGGCAAGAAAGCTAGCAATAGAAAGCAACTTCCACCTTTTGCTTCATTTAACCTCTTAGGCACGATGCATCACTATACTGGCTTTCGCGGATGTCACCTTTCTGAACAACGCGTCACTATAGTGGCTCACTCGCTCACCGTTTGAATTAAATGATCGTTTTCATATGTTTTGTTTCACAACGTTTTATAACAGTGTTGACAATATACAGACGGAATATACGATCATCAAAAAACTTCATTTCAATCTTTACGTCATACAGCCGTGGCTAAGAGGTTAATGTAGGAAATCATAAGCATGCCGTCGTCGTAGTCGTTCGAGTAGACGTCTCTGCTGACATCCCGTCGTTCCCCAGGCGATCGTAGAACCGGAAAGCGGTTAGGACGCGGAAGGTCAGAGGTCAAGACGGAGACATTCACGAGGTCGATTAAAGTCGCGAGTGTAACAGCGTCGACGAATCCCTGACGGAACGATTCCCCTGCTGCCCGGGGAGCACTCGTCGTCTCCGGGAACTCCGTGACACGAAGTTAGATTTATATCGAACTTCGAGCAATATGTCCGTGTCCGGGGTAAACAAATATTGAAACATACCTGAGACCAGAACGAACAATTTTTACTTTTTCTTCGATTCCGAATTTATACTCTTCTTTGTTTATTTAATCTCTTAAAATCTGATCTCTATCTTTAGTAATAATTCTGACAGTCGTTGATGCAAGATTTACGGTAAAAGCTTTATGGTAATTAATTTTGTTTCATGATTGATAACGTTTCTTTTTCCATTACAATTTTAAGATGGAGGAATCTGACGTTTAGATACCATTTTGAAATGCAGTGTATAATGAAATTTATTATTTTTTATGAGTTTTGGTGGCACTGATTAGAATTAGATTTTAAAATTAACCACGAGGGTTCTTTAAGCTTGAAATTAGAAACAAATAATTGTATTTATGGTATCTAACGAAATTGACACAAGTTAAGGTATGAAAAATTGAATTGTTTCATTATGACGTTCAGCAAATATTGCACGTTTGGTTAGTTCGTTTCCAGTTATTTTTAAACCGTCTGACAGAAAGTATATGTTTTTATAAATCGTTGAAAAGTCCCCTTCGTGCCAATTATGCCAACATATTTCGCATTCGTTCTTGTCCGTTTTATTTATTTTCAGGACAAGTAAAAATAAAAATTCGTCGTGTTTTTGTGCAGATTATAAAAGCGAAATCGTAATTGTACAGCAGAACTGTCAAAGGGGCTGAGTGCCAATTAAAAATGTTTCTCAAAGTGAAGAATTTTCCACAAATGTTGACTCGACAATTATGGAGAACAAAAAACTGTACTGAATGATATAATTATTATTGATTTCACTTTTCCTGTGTGAGATTTTTAAATATATGGCATTATCTATAAAACATAATTTCCAAACACCCACAGGGCTATAACTCTCCAACATTATATATTTTTTCTCGAATCGAGTACTCCCATAAATAAATTTATTTAAAACATTTTCCAAATGATGGATTCGAGCCTCGGTCTTTCCACGGCTAAGAGACACTTCGATCGAGTGTTATCGAGTGCCTCGAGAATCCTCGATCGCAAAGTGTGCCCTAAAATATAAAATTCCCGATAAAACTGGACGAACAGAGAGGCGATAGTAATGGTGTAAATGGACGTCGCGGAGATCTGTTCGACTGTTCGGATAGAGATTTAATTATCTCGACCGTGCTTCATCCTCGATTTTTTACCAAGTCCTGAAAGGAAGCGCCAACCAAATGAAGGGAAGGCACAGGACAGGAACGACAAAGGGACAGACGCGGGGCAGAGAAATCATCAACAGTTTCGACCTCTGAATTTTATTTACAAAATCGTTACCCGTTAAATCGTACAACTCCTAGGCAGTCTGTGTGCCCGCGAACCGCACTGATTTAACGACCGGACGCGAAAATTGCTTCCGGTTTTTGGCGCCAGTTTCGACAACGGTCGCACACACGGCCCGTCTATCGCGTAAGAAACAATGGACGCCGTGGCGTTCGCGACGAGACACGCCATTGATCCAATCGCGGTCGACGTTGGTCGCGTGGACGATCATTAACGCGATTATTTACTCGCTCTTCGAATAAACCGAATTCCAGGGATGGATTAGTGTCCCCTCGATCGGAACACGCGGTTTACCGCGAGATTCCGATTCGTAGACGCGAGCGAGTCCTATCGCGCGGGAGAAGGGGAACGTACGACACCACTGTTCGCGCTGATCGCCGAATCGTTCAGTCTTCGGAATTTTAACGAGCACTCGCGACCGGTTCGTTACTCCGTCGCCGAGTTATGGTCGCATTTGAGGCCCTCGTCGACCTCGTTCGGGCAACCGGTCAAGCTGATGGTCGTCTCCTGTTCCTTGATCGGGAGGCTGGTCCTACCGTCGTTCCCGAACATGGACATGTGCATGACGCTACGCTGACCTCGACGGGAGTCCCCCGTGTACTTCTTGGAGCTCATCATCGAGAAACTTTGACCCCGTACCCGCGAGCTCAGGTCAGACGATCGACGCTGTCGTCTCCTCATCTTCCGCGGCACGCAACACAGCAGGTACCTGCGCGAAGTTTAACTTTAACCCTTTAGTACTCCGTATCACACGGTTTCGGGAACAGGTTTCGTTGGAAACAATGGCTTGAGCGGTGTAATATGATAGTCGTTTCGTATTACATTGTTATATTATATTTGTAAAGGTGTATTAGTCTTTTTCGAAATAACTTAGTTTCGATGCACGACTATAACCGTGAAAACTCGATACTATTATTTAGAAGTAATGCCTTGGAGTAGAAGTATCTTTAAAATAATATTTATTACAATTCTTTTAATATAGTTTTATATTATAGAAAAGAGAAAGTCCTATACAAAACAATTTTATTTATTTCTTCAATTAAAATCACCTTTTTCCTGGTTATGGCAGTATTACTAGATACCTTGTATATCCATTTTTATTTTATTTACAAGAAGCCTGCTGCAATATATTCGTATTTTTATATGCAGAACAAAATACATTTCATTTAAAAAACAAGTATGCATATTGTATTCACAGAAATGAATTATACAACCAAGAAACAGCTCCTATTGCTGCGTAATCAACCCCCCGTGTAACACGGTAGTTAGGATTAAGGATTACTGAGAAAGCTAAGTTCCAGCGAATAGTAGAACTACCATTTTGTTTTGATCATTTTTTCCTGTATCAATTTGTACCATTACCGGGGAAAAGGGCTGCGGTTTGTCCCAGTTTCTAGAATCAGTCTGTATAATGGCTGCTTAATGGACGCCGCGTTACATCGCGTGGTAATATAGGCGATAATCCCATTGATCGACTAAATTTTTATCGCTCCTATCCGAATTTATGGAAATAGGTCGGGCAGCGGTTGGATCGTGGTTTTCTGCCCGGGTGTCAAGTCGCTGCCAATTTTTTCTGAATGCTCGATACTTCGCTACGAAACGGCTGTAATTTTATTTCGCCCCTGAATATTTACTAGCACACGGTCGAAACAGTTTTCGATGCATCTCGGGGGCAATCGCGTTTTAATCGAATCGTCGATCGAGGTCGAAGGTAACAATTTTATAAAAACTGTTATCGTAATAACAGTAATGACTTTGGAATACAATTTCATGAAGACTGTTATCGTAATACACGAATTGTTTAGATCCTAATGAAACGTACTTAATTTACATTATTGAAACCATAGCGCTGTAGTACTGTAGTACAATAATAACACGATCTTAATTAAACGAGCCAAATGTGTATCGAACTTGTGGCTATTAATAATTATTCACCAATTATTATAGAAATAACACGTGTTCCAAAGCGTTTCAAATAATTTAGAAACTTCCAAATCTGTTATTTGATAAGGGAGGTTTAGAGAATAACCGTAGATAAAATATTTTAAGAAGAATATGCAATTAGAAGCAATGCATGTTAAATCAAGAAGAAAATAGGAAACTAGCCTTAAAATTAATGATACGTGGAATTGTATTTCCGTAGTGTCATTCCACGTATCATTAATTTTAAGGCCAGTTTCCTATTTTCTTCTTGATCTAACATGCATTGCTTCTAATTGTATATTCTTCTTAAAATATTTTGCCTGTAAGAGTAAATAATGAGGTTTAATGGTGGCGTTAATTTGCATGCTGCATTTTGTTTCCATGGAAAAAACTGTATGTGTCGGCTGAAGCGTTAATTATTAATTGATTAAATCGATAAATGATTTATGACAAAAAACGATTAACGCTCGAGCTGGCACGTATGGCGTCACTAATGGGGGCTGTATGTTGGCTGCTGGGATTGGTGATTATCACATTATTGATGGTATCATGGATCGTTGGACGTATTTAAATTTATTACCAAGTGCTGAAAACTGGGAATAACAAATAAATTTATGTTTCAATAATATAACAATTGGAAGCATTAAGTCAGGATCGTATAGAAATGTATATTGTGCAATACACTATATTATTTGCAAACATCCCAGTCGTCAGATACATTTGTTAGCAAAAACAACAATAAATATTAGTTTTACATTTAGCTACTAAATAATCGTTTTCCTAAATAAGTTAATTAAAGTTCAAGAACGCTTGGTACAAGAGTCAGACGTGCAGAAATCAAATAAATCGGGGTCAATTTTATTTGGTTAAATGCAGCACCGCAAAGTAGAAGCGAATAAAATGAAATCTTTCAGAATTATACGTTCTCGTATGTTTGTTAATAAATTCTGTCAAACAAGTTTGGATCGGAATTTCCGAGAGAAGTTATTTTTGTCCAACTAGAATCAGTATTTTGTGCGCTAAATAGCGATCGAAAATTGATTAGGTTCGCGCGAAACCGTAAGAAACATAGGGAAAAAGTGAAATGCAAAGTGCAGCGAAAAAGTAACTAAAGCTAAATAGCTATTGGGTCGTTCCATAAATTCTGGAATTAACGAGGATAAAATTTGTAATTTAGTTAGAGCAAAGTTTAGGGGTGAGACAACCCTCTACAAAGCTCCCATTTCATTAATTCTACTAATCAAAATATGAATTTGCATAAAGATCCGTAGTCTATTTATAAGAAATAAAACGCAACAACCTTTGGGCTCATTAGTGGGGAAACAATTTGGAAACGTCAACGTTTTAATGAAAAGCGTTGAACTACATTTGGAATAAAAAAGGAAAGGTGTTCTGTTTTTCATAAAATTCCAGTATACGTCTAAAACATTGCTTTAAATTGTAGTACAAAACGAACGTATGGGACGACCTGATATAATATAAAATAAATAAGTCGTATTTTTAATCTCAGTCTATCTTACGATGACAAAATGGCGGTTTCTTCGTTTCGTTACCTGTCGAAATACTTTCTGAATGTGCCGCTGACGCAGTACAAAGCGATAGGGTTGATGCAGCTGTTGGTGAACGCCATACAGAACCCGACGATCCGAAAGTAATGCCAGAACGCGTCGTAATCGTCCGCCGCGGTCGGATGGATATGAAACCACAGCATAAAGACATGCTGGGGAAAGAAACATACGGCGAAGACAATCACGAACGCCATTACCATCTTGGCCACTTTTTTCCGCGCCTTCACTTGCCTCGCCTGAAATCAAGCAGACACGACGTTACGAAAACACGGGGGGACCCCACTCGAGACAAAAACCATCGGTATTCGTCCGACTGTGTTTGAGATTCTGAAATTATCATTCTTTCTGCGCGACCCTCCGCGGTACTTCTTTCGAACTTCCGGCGTATTCCGTTCTAATAAATCGCGGACGTGTTCCCCGGACCGAGGTCCTCGCGAACTGGTATCATCGAGGATCGATAAGCCAGCGTCTCGTTTTTAGCGAATTTAATATAGGAGTGTTTGATAATATTCGAAATGTCGTTTTCTCGATGTTTCCAGTTACGAAGCCTGTGACAGCCATTTCAGTTTGCTTCAACTGTTTTTAATAATAGCTGAAAGTTCGTACGCTTTCAAACGTGTGAATAGGTGATCTTTTTTATGGTAGGAAATATCTTCATTCGATAATAGATTTTACGAGTACAGACTTAGGAAAATGGCGGTGGAAGTTGCTGGAAATGTGTTAGCGAATGTTAGAATGGTTCAATGTTGGTGTGGAAAATTCAAGGCTGGTCTAGCGTGTTGAAAATAATGAGTCAAACGCCTTCGAGCGTTAGAAGATCAAGTTTTGGCGCGTTTTTCAGCCTCGAAAATTAAATTGCTTCGCGAGAAACGATCGCACCGTGGTTTCTTTTACTCACCTGACCTTGCATCTCCCCGGGTATGTTTCTGGTGCTGCGCATCAGGTGTCTGGCCATCAGGATGTAGAAAACCGCGATTATGCTGAGAGGCACCGCGTAGAATATGAAGAAACGACAGACCAGGATGGTTTTAGGGTAATTCGGCCCGAATTCTTCTGGATAAGGGTAGCAGGCCTTCAAAGATAATTGTTTAATTCCAGTTGAAAATGGCGGTAATCATTATTCGAATCAAAAGGTATACACAGACGAATCTATATTTGAAAAAATAAATCTTAAAAAGAAAGGATTTCATTTTTATAAAATATATTCCTCGTGCAATAATAATCCAACGAATGCCCCTATAAATATTATTTTTGTTAATTTTATCACGTAAACTGTTCACCATCGATGGATTTTCATTTAATATGAACTTGTTCCTTCGAATATCGAAGGGCACGATTAAAAATCGAAGTACTCCAATAATAAGATACGAATAATGAAATTCAGTGGAATTTAAATACGATACGAATAATGAAATACCGATTACCTGGAATTTATATCCGCGACGGAGGATTTCATTTTGTTAAAAGAGAAAAGGAACGAAGAAAATATCGTTCGTTGGGTAAAAAAATTCGGTGAATCGATTCGTTTAGGTGTGTTATTCGAACTCACGCGAAAGCTGACGTTCGTGTTCACCCTGAAGTCTCTGATGTAAGCGAAGGAAGCTGGAATGGCGCACGTAATGGCCAACAGCCAAATCAACGTGGCGACGATCACCGCGAATCGCGTGGCTTTTCTTCCTGTACCTTGAACGATAAAAACGAGAGATGAGATGTCTTCCGTCACAGTGTCGCCTTTACGCTCGCGTTCGAGAATTCCGGGAATCGGACATCGAAAGTTGTAATACCGGTGGCGTGAAGTTTTCTCATCGGGTCCACAATGGCGAAGAATCTGTCCGCGGAGAGCGCTGTTAAAGTGAAGACCGAGACCCCGATCGAGATATCCTTGAAGCACTCGAACACTTTGCACAGAACAAGTCCGAAGGGCCAGGAGTCCAGGATATAAACGGTGAACGTGAATGGCACGCATGTCACTATCACCTGCAGGCGTAACATCGAACAGACACGTCTCAGAGAAACGGGTTAATTTCAAATCCGTCGAGAAATCGCGATATCGCGAAATATTCCAGGACCCGCGTAACTTCTGATCCGCGAAAAATCTTGATCGCGCAACTTTCCAGAAATTAACGCGCCCCGGCGAAATTTACGAGGGTTAATTCCCGGGGGGGAGCTCGGAATTTTTGCAATCGCAGGGTAACGAGAATCGGAGAAGGAAAAAAAGTTGATTGCCTTTAAAGCGTTCGGCTTTATTCATTCGTTTAATTGCGACGCGATAAAAGACGAATCAAATGTAAAAAATAAAATATAGGGGGTGGGTGGACTTATTGTTGGGCGAAGCTGTAGCGTTAAAATGGAGAAACGTCGTGTTACTGGGAATAATTAAATAGTTTCGAGCGTGTGGAAGCGTTTCAAAGTCACTTTCGTTAGAAGCAAATAGAATTTTTAATCACTGAGCTGAACGATAACTTTGTTTCTATCGAAGGCGGAAAAAAATTAACGTTTCGATGTTTCCGTTTGCTTTTTTTATAACATTCTCGTTGCTTCCAGTAGGCAAATAGTTTATGCATTTCGTTATTGTCGAAATGCTTTTGAATTTTAGTCACGAATAACAAATAAATATTGTAGACTCATGGACTAACTTCCCTTTACGTTTCTAAATTTATTTGTAAAAGTAATAGTGTACGAACGAAGATGTTTAATCATTATTAGTAGACTGCGGATGTTCATGCATTTATGGGAAATTTTAATTTTCAAAAGACTACAGACTATAGGTACTTAATGTACAAAAATAGTATTATATTTAGTGGTCGAAACAACCCTTTACGAAGCTTCCACTTTATTAATCTTATTAATAAAAATATGAGTTTGCATAAGGATCCGCAGTCTGGTTATTAGTGAATGTAATTTGCCCAACGTTGGAGTAAAAATGATCACCAGTAGATCTCCAAGCGCTAACGAGAAGACGTAAATATTGGGAACGTTCCTCATGTTGCTGTGCCGTAGGATAGTGAGCGCTAGCACACCATTTCCGGTGAGCCCGATCAGTAGTATCAACAGGAACACGATGGGCACTATGTACGTTTCCGGTCGTTGTCCGTACGGCGTGTATTCCTCTTCGTTATCGTCCCTGGCCACGGTGGTCGTCGCGATGCCCGATGTCATCCTCAAGATGGACGACGCCGTCTGCGTGGTCCAGGGAACCGACAACGGGGAAACGGTGGCGCGGGACTTGAACATGTTTCCGTTTTCTTCTCGCGACACCACGTGGTTTCACGTTCGAACGGCGAAACCGTCGCGTTTCACATCGTGCTCGTTCCTCGATCGATCGATAGTCCTCGACGAAGGTTCACCAGCTCCCCATCGTTTTGGTTCTATGCTACGAAGTAGAAAAAAGTTCGAGTCAGAGAGAGAGTCGCTGGTTAATGGAACGGAATGACTATAAACGGGGGAAATGATTTGGGGATGTGCATCGAAAAACGATTTCCAGACTGCGGAAAATTGTATCCTTTTTGGAGAGTTGTGCATTACTGGGCAAATCTACTCGGAAACAAACGTTTTGTGAAATTCAACGCAAGTAGAAATATCGAGCGATAGTCAGACGCGGGAAATAAATCGTACTCAATCGTATTGGTTCTCGATGAATTTTTAACACCCGTTATCTGGATGATAAAAACTTATTTACAATGCATTGTTTTAAATGTGCTGAATTTAATTTTGTTGATGAACAATATTTTAATTGTCGTAGAGATCAGACTAAAATTCAACGCAAGTAGAAATATCAAGTAATGGTCAGACAGGCAAGACAAATTGTACTTAATTGTGTTAGTTGTCGAGGAATTTTCAGCAGTAAAATGTGCTAAATTTAAATTTGTTAATAGATTATATGTTACTTTCAACATACTTTTTTTAAACTTTTTTCAGCAAGAAGTGTAATTGTGGTAGAAAATTAATCTGCATCTCTGCAATTTCATTTAATAAATTCTTTAGATTCCTCTGGACTTGTATTTAATTTTAAACATAGTCCTATATTTATTTTTATTTTCGACATATACGTGTTTCATCTTCACATCCAAATAGAATTAATAAACAGAAATTTATTAATTTCTACTCTAATAATTTATCAGGAAAGAAATGTCTGCCATTTTAGCGTTCATTCACGCAATTTGTCCATGTCGTGCATCGTTTCTATTTTCTCTTGAAGCTTTTTAGTTTCCTAGGGGATTCGTTGGTACAGTATGTACATTGTCACGAACATTTATCGTATCTTTCTTTGCCACAAGGCTGGTCTTCGTGCAACAGAACGAATTCTTGTAAGATATTTTTTGAAATATTCCGTGTATCCTGCATTTCTTGTTACGGTTGGCGGAAAAAGTTGACGGGGAAGGTTAACAGAAAAATGTTAACAGTCTCGCGACCCGGGCATGGCAATCCTTGATTTATCCAGACCCTCAGACTCTAGAGGGTGGTTTATTATCTTGGCTGTCAAGTGCAAGCCTCGCAAACGTGGCTCGTAACCAGGCGGATAGGATACAAATTCTAGTACACATTTTACTATCTTCCTGGATCTGCAACAATTGCTATATCGCACGAATAATTTTAAAACTAACGTAAAAAATTGGTCGATCCAGTCCTTAAGGAAACTAGGTTCCTGGCAGGAAACTAGACTGCGGATCTTTATGCAAATTCATATTTCTATTAATAGATTTAATGAAATGGAAGCTTCGTAGAGGGTTATCTCAATCCCTAAATATAATAATTCCTATCCTACTTTAACCATTTCTTAAATTCTTGCATATTAATTGCTCTCGATAGTTTTTCAAAAATTTAAATTCTTCATAAATGCACAAATATTCGCAGTCTACTTATAATCTATTTCCGTTATTAGTTTCACAATTCTCTGTCTCCAAAATCTTAGGACCCCAAGTTTTCCCCAATGAAGGAATTTTGGTTATACATAATACAAGGTCACTATATTAATTCCTTTAGAAAATGCAATTTAATGTTACAAACATTTTATATTCGGCATAAATTACGTCTTCACGACCGAAATAGTAGAAAAATTGATAGATATAGTAAAACAAATCGAGTTCTGTTAACAGCCTCTAAGGATTCCAAGTTTTCCCCATTGAAGGAATTTTGGTTATACATAATACAAGATTACTATATTAATTTCTTTAGAAAATGCAATTTAATGTTACAGACACTTTATATTTAGCATAAATTACGTCTTCACGACCGAAATAGTGCAGAAATTGACAGAGGTAGTAATCGATACGTTATTATCGGAAAGTACGCGATATATTCGTCACCGTTAATTTACCGTCCCCATAAACTTCCGGGCGTTCCTGTGCTCTGTTCTCGAGCGTCATGAATCCCTAACGCGGCCGCGACGCGTCGGTTGTACGTGCGTTCACGTATTTTTCAGCGGCAGGACGTTTGTTTTCGGTTAACGGCAGTCGACGGCGGATAGAGTCGGCGAACAGGACGAGATACGTACCGTCTCTTCGCAAATGTAACAAGGAATGCACGGAACGGGGAGCCTTTGAACGCGTTCGACGCTACGCGAGCCGACTTAACAAGAGTTCCGTCGCTCGGGGTGTGTATCGAGCAGAAGCGTCATCAATAAATTCGCCATAGGGAGGGTCGCGTTTCGACGTAAAAATGCAGGGCAAACGCGAAGTAACTGCGTGACCTCGTTAGCCCGGAGAATTTTCATCGCGTTTCTTTTTCAATCGTGCCTTCCACGACCTCCGAGCCGTGAACCGCTCGGCTGGAACACGTATAATCTCATGGAAAACTCGTGGGTGAAGTGTCCTGCTCTACAATGTCTTCAAAGCTCGGCCTCACTGAGTAAATCGACTTGTTTCAACCACCCTTTAGAATAATAACGACGCGTTGTAGCATATTTTTCCTTTCCACCTCACGCTTCAACACCCGCTAAAACTTCGTTCACGCGTCGCTTTTGGTTGCTGTTTCTTGAACGTGAAACCTCTGATTCGATGTTTCCTCAACTTCTCTCGTTATTTCGAGACTGAAAGATATTCGATGACATTTGTGGTACGTGTATTTAGAGCTTGGAGTTAATTAAAATGAACAGGAATTTATAGGTTGTCAAACGTTGTCAAACGAGGCGGTAGAAAGTTAAATTCGAGTAATTTTCTGGTACTGATAATCGCAAATGGTTAGACAAAAATGAAGCACCAAGGTGTATGCTTAAATCAAACCTTAATTCAAGATATTAAGTATTACAAATTATTCTATTCTTCAAATTGGTTCAACGAATGCAGAAAATTATTTGTTCTTTCGAATTTTATTTTAGGAGCATAAATTAGATCGTATTTTGATAATAAAGACTTACATTATGATTAAGCATATTAATATATTCGTTTGATAATGTTTGAGGTCACATTTCAAGTGAAAGCCAAGTAATAAATCATACAATGAAATAATAATAATAATGAAGACTTAAATTATGAATTAAGTTATAATGTTAAGTCACATGTTTAGTTAAAACTGTGTTACTGTTCTGGTCTCTCCTATATTAATTCGAAATTGTTCGAACGATCAAGAGAAGAAAATAATAAAACAGCAAACGATCCCCACGATATTAAGGGGGGAGGTGAAAGTTAGGTTTTTCGTATTTAATAGCATTTCTTCTCTCGTGCTGTTTTTTGTTCGAGTTGATTAAAAGATACCTTCGACTTTTTGAGGGGAAATATGACCTCCGTGGAAGAGCTATTTATTATACTGCGCGTAACCTACTTACGATGGGGTCTGACGAAATAAAGAGCATGTGTAGTGGATGTTCTTGATATCCTCCGAGCGAAATTTCAGACGAAAACGTATGAAGTCTTTGTTTCTGGTTTCCTGAGCTTTCTCCAATAATTGGACAATTTGAGAATGCTCTGGATACGATTTCGAGGACATGATTTTAGAAGTATGCACACAAAACCGGGATAAATTTTTGACTGTTTTGTAACAATAATTGTAAGGTGTCTCGAGATTTGTTATTTTAAAATTTGCAATGAGAGAAGGTAATCAATTTCATTTAAAATTTACAGACACAGTGATAAGTTCTTCGTTAAGTGCGTGTAAGGATACCAGTAAATAAACTGAATTACTTTTGTGTTAAACCTTTAAGCCAGCGGCTTAGCGTTTCCTGAGCCCTTCGATTCTTACTTGCTGGTATCTTTCCAATTCCCATAATTTACCGTGTGTGACTTACTATAGTTCCCAAGATAATTTTCTTGGGATAAATCCCAAATCCCAAGAATTTCGCATATATTATTCCTGGTCTGATCTCTCTTTTTATTCAAATAAATTGCATTTTCCTTGACACTCGGTATCTTTATATAGAATAACTAAACAACTATATAATTTACATTATACGGGCGAGAATTCTTTGTATCTCCGCTTGGAAAAGAGAAGCTCGTTCCAATTATAAAAATCACTGATTAAGTAAATTTGGAGCACACCAGCTTTCTCATTATTACAATAGTAAAACTCATTAGGATACGTTTCTGTTGTACCAGATATCGTACTGCTGATGAGAGGATTGTCGTGTTAATAACACGAAATACGATTATTCAGACCAATGGTCTCCACGTGACTGACTTTATTACGCCAGACTTTTTCAGTATAAAACGTGCCCTCTCTACGCGCACACGTATTCCGCGTACAAACACGCAACAAACAGCTACAATAGTTTCAAATTAATTCAATTTTACACGGTTAATGAGCAAAATCGCGTTGTTCATCTAATACCCGTAACTACGGTCATCGGTGTTGCGTGATCTAGTATAATGAATAGAGTTTCAACATGAAGCCCGGAGTTATTGAACACGAACGCAATACATCAAATATCTCGTAGAACGTTTTCAATGGTCGTACCTTAATATTTTTCTATACGAAACGATAAGAATTTTATATTAAAAGTATTTTAATTTAAAAGTATTTTAATTTAAAAGTATTTTAATTTAAAAGAAAGAGAATTCAATTTTTTTAGGTATGAATTTTATGTATCTTATTTCGTTTAGAAAAGAGAAGCTTGTTACAGTTTGTAAAATCATCCTGTTTACTTTACTGTTGCATGTTTATCTTCATTTTTGGAACACCCTAAAATCATTACAAACCCACCAATGTGCTCATTAGTGGGGAATTATACCATATTGATCAAATCCATGCAGTCTGCAAATATTCTTGCAAATAATCTCACGTTATCTCTGTCCACACATAAT